CGCCCCCCCCCCCCCCCCCCCCCCCCCCCCCCCCCCCCCGCCCCCCCGCCCCCCCCCCCCCCCCCCCCCCCCCCCCCCCCCCCCCCCCCCGGGCGGGAGAGATAGGGAGGAGGCTCTGCCTACGTCATGGGCAGGGCAGCTGGGGAGTTATATACTAGCTCGATAATAAGAGAATGGGCTTCAATATCCCGCCGCCCGGGGAACCCGGTCTTTGGGTTGTTGAACCGGTGGTTTTGGTCCACCCCCTTGTTAATGGGCAAACATCATCCTGATACTATCAACCGGCGTGCCGGACAGGGCCTTGGTTTGTTTGCTCTTTGTTTGAATCTAAATGTTACTGGAAACACGGGAGAAATACTGCAACCAGGGAGCATCCGCGCCCCTGGTCGTCCCCAGGAGAGATGCTCTCTTCTATGCCGCTTGGAAAGGCGGCGTCGTTCTAGATATGGTACTTCCCTACCCCGATTCGAGGATGACCGTAGAGTCAGTCGATATCGTCTATTACCAGCATTTCAAAATGGGCTAGGACCCCTATCCTCGCAAGACCCAGGGCAAGCATGTCACACAGGGACGAGAGTAGGAGGGAGAGGAGCCATGAGCCCCTGTCTCTAGCAAGTGCGAGTAATTGTGATTTGGGAGGCCACGAATCGCGATGCGTGCCTAGTTATCCGATATACCTTTACAGTACTTATACAACAAAATCTTCCGTGGTGGCTCTGTCTATTATGTTCGGTATCGCCCCTAGAAACCACCGCCAATCCGGTGTGGCTGCTGTGCAGCATTCCTCCTTCCAGGCCTGCGACATTTGCGGCAATTTATTCGATAACTTCGTCAGAGCCGCTCCGCCCCGAGGACGGACTCCAAGTGATAGAGTGAAATAGAAGGGAAGAAAGAAGGGGAAAGAACGAAATGAACCAAGCAAATGGGCGTCCCTAAACTTGAAGGTTGATCGTAGGTAGGGGCTCCCGCACAAAACGCCTAAATCCCAACCACTATCCGGCAGATGCACCCGGACTTTGGCGGGGGGACCTCAGCCGTGGCGGAAGGTGCACTTATCCCCCTTGTTGCACTTCCCGCGTGCCCAGAAGGTGCACTGCTTGGTGCCGATAAGGGCCCGGTTGATGCCTCGGAGATGCTCGGGAGTGTCTCCTTGGTCCCGGCGGCCGGCCCTATCGCGGCCCTGATCCGGCCCCCCAGAGCGAGCGGCCGCGCCGGAAGCGTCTCGCTGGTGCTGTGGCTGGTGGTTATAGCCTTGAGAGGCACTGGCGTATGACTGCCCATTATTGCCTCCCTGGTTTTCGAAACCCCCGTACTGGTAGTGGGTCTCACCACCGCTTTGGAGGCCTTGAACTCCCTGGTTTTGCTGGCTTTCAATCATCCTAAGCAGCATGTGAGCCTGATTCACGTCTGTTAAATTGGTCAAGCCACCGACACCAGGCTGCGACGCCTGCGGGAGTCCGGGCTGTTGCTGAGCCTGGTTCAAGGCGGCCAAAAGAGCTTGCGCGGCATCCGGAGCCGGGGCCAGCCGTTGGGACATCGGAGCCGGGGCCTGATGCTGGGACAACGAAGCCAGGGCTTCTAACATGGCGTTGAACTGTCCCGCTTGAGGACCCGCACCTGGCTGTGGTTGAGTCGCGGCCGCGGGCGTGGAGGCGAGGTGCTGGAACTGCGTATAGGCATTTTGCGGCTCCGAAGCATTCGGCTGAGAGTAATAGGGTGGCTGCGCCGCCGGAGCCTGGTTGTTGAAATGAGCAAATACGCTGGCAAGAGTCGGCTGAGCAGGTTGAGCAGGCTGCTCCGCTGCTGCCTTCCGAGCGGCTTCCTGTTGGTCCTGGCCGAACCCTTTGTACCACTCTGCACGCCTCGCCGGGTCTTGCTGCCAATCCGGAGGCTCCTGGGCGGGGGCCGGCTTGCCCCGCAACTTCCTCACAACATCCTCGATAGTGGCGGAGGCATTCTGGACCTCGGGGTCGTCGTAGGCCTTCCGTTTCAGAGCCCTCGGTCTATTGGGCTCCGGCTCCACCCACTTCTTGGCAGCCTGGCTGCTGAGGAGCTTGAAGACATTCTGGTCTCGCTCCTCCTGGCTTGCATGCTCATCGCGGGCTGCTGCGGCCTTTAGCTTCTCGTTCGCCAGCGCGACCATCTCCTCGGCCTTGCTGGCGCGATCGGCCTCCTCTATCCGCTGGAGGAGGCGCTGGGACGTCACTTGCGGGCCGTACTGATCCATATCGCTCCAACGCTGGCGTATCTCGTCGAACTCTGGCTCATCCGGGAGGTGGATGCCGTCGTCCTTAGGCTTATCAGCTGGCTCAGGATGAGTCAAACCTGCATTGGTCGTTCCAGCCACAGGCTGCTCAGGCTCACGAGGAGGGGATTTCGGGGTCGCCGGAATATCGCCGGGGTCGGTGTAGATAACCATAAGCGTCGTGTTCTCTCTCTCCTCCATGAATTTCTGGTGATCAGTGGTGAAGGTTCGTTTTCCGCCGCGAGTCCAGTAAGCCTCGCCTCGCATCCGCTTATCCGGTACAATGACGCTAAAGTCGATCAACGTCGGCTCCTTCCACGGGCGGAGCACTCCGGAACGGCTCTTCTTGAGATGGTTGCCTTCCGCTTTATCGTCGCCCGCGTCTAAGATCATGCTGTCCTCCCGACCCTCGTCCTCGGCGGCCTCTTTCTCGAATATGCGGACGCTAGTAAGCTCGCTGCCTTCCTTGAAGCTCACTCGAAGGCCTCGCTTCCTGCGCTCCTCTTTTCGCAAGCGGCGGGCTCTCTCCTGGGGTGTCTCCGTGGGATCGGGCGACCGAGTTGGGGTCGGCGAGGCGGGCTTGACCTTCTTTGGCTCAGCAATTTCTGCCATCAAAGCGGCGAACTTTGATGGTCCCTGCTGCGAAAATTCCGCCTTGGGAGGTTCGGTTTTCTTCGCCCTGGTCATCTTGGCAGCTTCCAAGCTTGATAACAGAGTTGTCGGAGCAGCCCTCGGCCTGGCCACCTCGGACTTTGAGAGTACGGAATCTGGAGGAGAGTCCGTGGTTGTTGGAGCTCTGCGAGGTTCCAGCTTGAGCTGGTCAGACTTGCTCAATTCCGGTTTCTGGACTGGTTTGGCGAGGGGTCGAGATTTTCCTGGTAGAAGGCCGGTGCTAGGGCGGGGTTTGGTAAGCGTTGCGGTGGTAGGCTGAGAGGAAGATGATGGCGCCTTGGACGCGACGGTTTTCACTCCAGGGTGAGGCGCGGCAGTTTTGGTCTCCGTGGCAACCTTTTTGGAGGCCCTGGTTTCGCCGTCATCGTCAGACGGTCGCTTCGAAGATGACGAACCCGACGAGGGCTTTGTAGGGACCCCTTTGTCAGGCTTCGGTGCCATACCTGCCGACGGCAACTTGGACGTAGTCGAGGAATCAGAGGAGGATTTTGCCAACTTGGAGTTCTCGTGGCCCCCATTCCCCTTGGCTATTGCGACGATTTTGGCTAGGGAAGATTTCACCTCGTCGTCTCCCTGTTCCTGCAATCTTGCCCGTGCAGCAGGAAATTTGCACTCTTCCAGCTGGACAAAAGTAAGGGTGGTGAAGTAGGTGAAGAGTCGGAGGACGGCCTTGACGAGAGGTGCGTTGTGTTCAGAACAATTTATCATGTTGATGATTGTTTGGAACAGCGGAGCGACGCTCATCCGCTCCCCCACCGCCTTCAAGACCCGTGGGTCGCCCTTGTCCAAAGCCACGACCACAATGCGCTCAACTACCTTGCGCAGCGGCTCGATCTCGCTCCTCAGCACACGTATCTCCTCCTTGCCAGCCGGTGATGGCTTCCGACTGTTTTCCTTGATAGCTTTTGGCAGGGCTCTGTAGCTGTCTGCCGCCCGCAGCTTCGTCAACTTGATCTTGAGGAATTTGCCGAATTCATCCGCCATCTTTTCAATAAACATGGCATCCGGTTGCCACCCAGGGGGGATATCCAGGATCGCGGCAGCTTCGCGCTCAGCAACCACGACTTCGTCATCTGATAGGGACTGCATTGAAAGTAACGTTAGGCTCTCACTCAAGTGTCTTCACCCCCAGATCTGAAGCCAGGACAAGGGGTCAAGAGTTTCCTTTTACTCACTGGTGGTTGTTTTAAAATGTCATCTCCATGACCATGCCTCTTCAGCTCTTCCTTGACCTTCTTTTCCAGCTTCGCAGGCCATCTCTCTGGCAAGTCTTTGAACAACGTTAGCATGAGAACGTATTATCCAGCTGCATATCTACTCACCGTGGCCAGAGCGATCCAAGTCCCGCCTCAAGTTAGAATCGAGCTGTGCTCGCTTTGCTCTAGCTGCAGGTCCAGCCGGGTCCTCTTTCAGAGTAGGGAGGTATGCTTCTATATGCCTGCCGAGGCTCTCTGACGGTATCGAGAAGCTCCTCTCGGGGAACAACCGACGTTTGTCGGTTCTCAGATAGACAGGGACCATCTGCTGTTTTAGGATTTTCCCCCAGGGCTCTGGCGCCGTCTCAACCACAAGGTGCTTAGCCCCTTCCCATGAAGTGGCAGTCCCATCTCTCAGTCTCGCAAGGAGGGATTCGTCCACCTTCAAATATGGATCCGGGACGGTAATTTGACTGCCTGAAACCTGGCTAGTGCTGGTTGTGGAACGAGGAGCAGGCTGCTGATCCAGGCGATTTCCAATCGTAGGCGCAGACCCAGCCGGCCTATTGGCTTGCCTTACTACCGGTGTCGCCGTTGATGAAGGCTGAACAGCCTGCCGGACGACGGGCTGGTGACCCTGATGGGGTAAATTCTGAGGGGTGATCTGACGAGGGACACTCTGATGAGGGACACTCTGATGAGAGACACTCTGGTGAGGGACACTCTGTTGAGGGACATTCTGGTGAGGGAGACCTTGGTGGGGAGGATTCTGATGAGAGAGTCCCTGATGGGGCGGATTCTGATGAGGGGCAGTCTGATGAGGGGGGTTCGGATGAGGGGGGCTCTGATGAGGAGGATTTGGATGAGGGAGATTTCCAAGATCCTGGAGCTGATGGTGTTGCGCAAACTGAACTGGCGGATTCGGATTCTGATGAGGGAGATGCTGATGAGAGAAATTCTCGAGATTCTGGAGATGACGCTGTTGCGGAAGCTGGACTGGCGGATTTGGATTCTGAACATGGGGCTGGAATGTCTGGTTCGGAAGCGATGGATGGCTGTGGTAGTCATTTACCACATGTCCACCTGCACCACCGTGCCAGTGAGATTGAACTTCCGGCATTCCCTGACTGTAGCCATTCTGGGGCATGCTAAATGGGGCACTGCGCCCAGCGGCGAAGCCTTGGGATGCGCCATTCGGAACTCGGCCAGTTTGGATGTTGGACGCGTGGCCAACATCGAAACGGAGGGCCGTCTGGGGGTAGTTGGAGCCCAGTTGTTGCTGAGGCGAATACTGAGGAGCAGGAGCAGGTGGGATGCTCGAGCTGACTTGCGGGTTGGGTGGAAGGTATTGACCCGAATAGTTGCCAAATGATGTGCCATTAACGGCATTCAAGGTATTGCCTGGGAGCGGATACTCGATGAAATCGCCGGCCCAGTTTCCATCGCCAACCAGAGCGGGCTCGAAGCCTCCCGGGCCGCCGTGGGGCTCACGCTCATCCATACCCGCTGGACCAGAGACTCTTTCTGGACGACCAAGAGAAAGGGGGAGGCCCGTGCTGAAAGTTGTCAGTTTGACCCAGAAAAGGATTGGGCGGGTTAAGTGCATACAGTTCTGGTTGGTGGAGTTGTATGCACCAATCCGAAGAATTTCAAGATGCCCAGTCACCACCAAAAACCCAAGGCAATCCGAAAATGAACCAGTGATTAGAAGCTTGACTGTTTCAATAAAGAGAAGATAGACCACTGAAAGGCTGGTTTGAATGAGATTGTGCTTGCTCGCAACCTGGGCTGAGAGGGGATGAAGATGAGAGTGAGGGCGTGGGATTAGAAAAGAATGGAGGAAATTTTTTTAACGGGGTCCTTATTTAGGAAGCGAGGAGTTTTAATGGTTTAATGGCCAACGGGGGTGAATTTTGAGATTGGCGGGGGTGTGGCGCTAATCAACGGTTCGGAGCTTTTGGAGGGCGATGGCCCGGTGGCACTATGACGAAAACAGGCTAGCGGGTGAATCTAGGACGGAAACTGATCAGCTGCCAGAAACCTAACACCACGCAAGTAAAGCTGGACGGGACCCTGAAAAGGGGCCCTGGAATATAGGGCCTCGACGGATGGTTCCCACTGGACAGTGAAGCATGACGGCAGACCCGGGGAGAGCAACATTGGCTAGAGAGAGAGACTGGTTCGAGGAGAGCTGCGCTGCACATGATTTTGAGACATCCCCCGGAGGGGGGCAGCGTTGCGAAGGGTTCCGCGGGTCGGCGTGTTGATCGGTCGGGATTTTTAAGAGGAGCCTGCCTGCCCTGGATCTGACTGACAGCGGATGGATTGATTGTTGATTGATTGATCTGTCCCAGCTCGCCCATTCTCTCTCTCAGCGCCCCCGATTTCCAGAACATGGAGTTCGCCATCACCGCTGCCAAGACAGAACGTCATGTCGGCGGTGATTTTGAGAGAGAGAGACGGGAGAGAGGCGTAACGTAGATGCAGGGCTGGACTTGGACGGGTTTGGCTCAGAGCTGCAGGCACATTGCCGTTTCCCCAGGTGGTGTGCACAATCACCCCGCCAGCTCTGCCGCCAGCGCCAGCGCCCACATCCCGCATCCGCCTTTCTCTATGGTCGCCGTATGGGGCAATTAATGGCAGCCATGGATGGATTCAAGCCAGCAGAATTGAGTCATGATCAATTATTGCAGGCCGTCTCTCCATATTCAGAAATTGGTGGTCATATGTTTCTCTCTCACGCTTTGCTGTGTTGCTCTCCGCAGTCGAATCTGCACCCTTCTTCTCCCTTGACGGGAATGCTTAAGTGTTACTCCCCAAGGTTGTGCCTGTCACGCTCATGGTCCTGGGTTCTGCGCCTCTCTCGCAGTCCTTCGGGCCGCAGATTATGGTATGCGGGATCAAGACTGCTCGATTGACCATGGCATTTAGGTGGTAGAGATACAATGGTGCTGGTGCTTCGAGCACGCTTCATTAAGGGGAGGGGATGGGTGAGTTGCATGCATACCCTTCAATCGAGGCCTGTTCCCACTGGCTTGTCCTCCCTACACGATGCCAGACACTTCATGGTCTCCTCGAGGCCGATGAGAGCGATGACTCGTTACAACATTGATTCCGCGAGAGATTAGGAGTAGGATTTATGAGTAGAACCCGGACCAGCCCATCTCAAGCGGCCAAAGAACCGGTATTCAGGCACGCGACAAAGAGAGCTAATCAATCGACGGTGTGGTAAAGATCAAGGGAGAGTAATCCAGTCGAACAATTTGCTGACGGATTCGATCTAGAGATCAAGGGCACGCTCGAGAGGGAATAACGACTCGGACTGGAGTTGGTATGGCTCTCTGGGTTGGTATACTTTCGGGGTAGGAAGAAGAGAGTGAGAGGTATGGGGGTTGGAGAAAAGTTGGTCAGAGTTTCGCAATCACCTGGGCAAAAGAGGGAAGGGCTGGCACAGGTTAGGTGTCACCGTCAGGGGTGGCAAGGCAGGAGCTAACCGATGCTAGCCATAAATGGGCAAGCGCCAAATCGGAATTATCGGACCTGCTGCTTTCCGACCCTCGCCCTGATAGGCCAGATGCCAGCAACAACGAATGTGGCCATTCTGCGAATAAGACACCGATCCAGTTGATATATATCTCGCTGGTGAGCCTTCAACTTGCGTCTTCGGTGCAAATCGGCTCATCGGACCTGCTTGCCAACATATCGAAGGGTGTCATTTGCAACATAATACGGAGCGGAAGAGCTGCAGAGACCCATCACGAACAACGGGCGGATTCTCCCTTAAGCCAAGCTCCGAAATGCTTTGAGGAGCATGAACACTCAGCGAGAGGCCATATAGGATCATTGGCTCGAGTCTGGGTATCTCGTCCAAGAGCTACCCTCCATAAACAACAATGGCGGCGAAGGGCCAGACCTTGCGCGATAGGCAGATCGGTCTGTTGTCCTACGTGCCCAGAGCGCCGTTGGCCAAGCATCATTCACTGACAGGCCTCTGCAGTTTCGATCAAGAGAATCCTCAACCTCAACGATACCGTCGAGTCCAGCGAGAATGAAGACTCTCACACAAATGGCGTTGCGGCCTCGTCTGCCTCGATTTTGACCTCCGAAGGCGAGCCTATCTGGAAGGTATTGGTCTTTGACGACCTTGGCCGCGATGTCATCAGCAGTGTGCTTCGCGTGACTGACTTGCGGTCAATGGGAATTACGATGCATATGTCAGTGCCATCCATACCTGGGTTTCAGTCAAGCGCGATCCCAATACTCACCTCTGAGTAGGCATATATCCACGGCACGCCATCCCATACCAGATGTGCCAGTCATTTACTTGCTGGAGCCGACCGCATCCAACCTCCAGAGCATCACAAATGATCTGCAGAGGGGTCTCTACTCGCCAGCGTACATAAACCTCCTCTCGTCTATCAGCCGGCCGCTACTGGAGGATTTTGCGTCGCAAACAGCAGCTGCTGGTACATCTGAACAGATTGCCAAGATATGGGATCAGTATTTGAACTTCATCTGTTCCGAACCAGATCTGTTCAGTCTTGGGATGCAAAAGGAACACACCTATGGGACAATCAACAGTGCCAAGACTACAGATGAGGAGCTAGAGCGTCTTGTTGACAAGATTGTCAGCGGACTGTTTAGTGTCGTTGTGACCATGGGTACGGAATGGCCCCATAACCCATTCCCTTTTCTCTCCCGTGGAAGGCTAACTTTTAGTCAGGCGTCATCCCCATTATACGCTGTCCAAAAGGCGAGGTGGCAGAGATGGTCTCGGCCAAGCTAGATCGCAAGCTTCGTGACCACATCCTCAACTCGAAAGACAACCTCTTCTCCAACACACGCCCGGCCTCGTCTACCGCCGGTACCCCGACCTCACGACCCGTTCTCATTATCCTGGACCGTAATGTTGACTTGATACCCATGCTCTCTCACCCGTGGACATATCAGTCTCTGGTGCATGATATCTTGAGTATGAAGCTAAATCGAATCACGATTGAGACGCCAATCGACGAGAATAACCCTTCGAAAGGGGTCACCAAGAAGGTTTATGATCTCGCTGCCAATGATTTTTTCTGGGCAAAGAATGCAGGAGCTCCCTTCCCACAAGTCGCGGAGGATATTGACGAAGAGTTGACGCGATATAAGGACGACGCGGCGGCTATCATGAAGAAAACGGGAGTAACCTCCCTGGAAGACTTGGAGGGCGACACAAGCGCCAGTGCGCTGCATCTTAAAGCAGCTATTACTTCGCTGCCAGCTCTTCAGGAACGGAAAGCAGTGCTCGACATGCATATGAACATTCTTGCAGCTGTCTTGGCGGGGGTGAAGAACCGGCAGCTCGACGATTATTTCCGAATGGAGGAGAACATAGGGAAGCAGACCAAGGCCCAGATGTTCGACTTGATAAAAGATCCAGACAAGGGAAACCAGCCTATCGACAAACTCCGGTTGTTCATCATCTGGTTCCTTAGCACAGAGCAAGATGTGCCCCGGGCGGATTGGACCCAGTTTGAAGAAGCGCTCTCCGCCGCCGGTGTGGATGCTACCAGCCTGGCATATGTCCGACAGTAAGTTATCGCTCCGTCCCAGTCAGCCTCCACATACGTTCTTTGGCAGGCGATCCGTCTTCCTTGATCTATTCTTCTTTTTCTCCTTCTCTTTTGCCCGAGGGTTAACCAAGCTGCTCGCCATTCAGAGTCCGTTGGACCAAGATGACGCAACTCACCACAATCAACACTTCATCCACCGCACCAGCACAGCAGCAGTCGGGGTCCTCGGACCTATTCAACCGCTTCTCGGCCATATCCACGCGGCTGACCGACCGGCTCAAAGAGACTGGAGTGCCAACAAGTGCGCTCTCAGCCAACTTCGACTCCCTAATCGGGGGCATCAAGAATTTCCTGCCGGCAAACCGAGATCTGACCATCACGAAGATAGTCGAGTCTGTCATGGATCCTTCCGCCGCGTCATCATCAGCCATCGCCAAGACGGAAAGCTATCTCTACTTCGACCCCCGCAGCGCCAATGCGCGTGGCACCATGCCACCACCTTCGGCTGTACGGGCCGGCGCCTCAGGGGGCTCTTCGGCACCCGGTGGTCTTCCAGGGGCTGGGTTCGGCGTGCAAGGCCCCGGCACGGGAGCCAGCTTCGGACAAAGAAGGCAAGGCTTCGCGGAGGCGGTCGTGTTTACAGTAGGAGGCGGCAGCATGGACGAGTACGGAAACTTGCAGGAGTGGGCAGCAAGAACATCTGCTGGCGATCGTGCAAGGAGGAGAGTCGTTTACGGCAGCACGGAAATGCTTAATGCTAGAGAGTTCATCAAGGAAGAACTGGACAGGTTGGGGGGGGAGGTAACATGAAGAGCAAGAGGTTCTATCATAGGCATGCCGACCGAAGTACACACGTAGCTAGCTGTTCCGAGTCGGATCCCCATGGGCATTGTTCAGTCTATAGAATATTTTGGAGCTCTTTGCCATGTTGCCGTATATCCCATTCACTGCCAATGATAGTTCTAGCGATGAGCTGGTGGACACTGACAGCCCCGAAGACAGTGCAGAAGCGGGATCTTGTCGTCATAATCTTTGCGAGAGGCAGCCAAACGGAGCCTCTCGTATGACATTCTGCCAAGCAAGCCGGACCCAGTGACGGGCTCGTCACTAGGGTTTAGATGCTTTATTAGATGCCAGGCGACGGAAGCGTGGCACTGGTAGTGTGCAGTGACGTGTAGGTATTCGTACTCCCGAGTTCCCAAGGCCTCCCAGCCAATGCCTTGTGTGGAAAGGTAGATGTTCGCGAGGCTGTGCAAGTCAAGTGGGGACGGTTAAGAAAGGGTTGGAGGCTCAGCAAGTCATAATCACGAGCCACCCCACCCGCCACAATCTCTTCTTATTTTAGAAGGGTATCTCGGTACTCACCTGGGCACGGTAGCGCGCCTTCAGTTTTGCCTAACGGCAGCTTCCATTCATTCCATGGATTGTCTTCTCAGCTCTCGTGCACGTACGTTTTAGCTCTCGAAGGCTGGGACTTGGCAGTACGTTCTGGGAGATAATAAGTTTTGAGGCGTTGGCCAGAGCAGTCTTTGCTGGGCCATCATCGTTGTCAGAGACACCTCATTCAAGAGAAAAGGGACCTGCTTCCGGCAAACAAGAGTGTACCTATCTATCTACGGACAACATTCCATCCTTCCAAGAGATAAAACGGCGAGCAAACCGGTGCCTACGTGCATGGTGTCCCCCCTTCCCTCCCTCCCAGCATCTGAAACTAAGCGACTGACCGGGGTTCCTCTACGCTCCCCTTTCATTCGCCCGTCCCACAATCGACCAACCCCTGGGCAGTGCTCCATCAAAAATCGATCAGCTTGAAACTGCGTCGCTGGGCCTGCGGCCGAATTACACTTCTCGAGAAGCTCCCGCTCACGTCCGTCCAAGCATCCCCACCCCACACTCTCTACAACGCTGCGCAGGATATCCGTTCTTTCTCGCCCTATTCTGCCAGACCAGGTCCGTTCCGCATCCCTTTTGCAGCGAAGGGTCGAGCGTAATAAAGAAAAGGGGGCGCAAGAAACATTTCGATCGCCGACAAACAGAACAAGCGTGGCCGAAAGACGCAGGGGACTCACATAAACGCGCGCACATACGGAGCACGTCGCATAGCATACAAGACCAAAAGTTCCAGAGACGGGTGCCATCGCCTCTTCTGAGACAATCGCATTCCTTGCCGACGGATAGGTCAAGGGTCACAGCACCTCCATTCCTTTCATCCATCCTCGTACCGCTTGGCACCATGTCGTATAATCGGCTAGGCAAGTTTGCTTCCCCTTTGCTCGTATATCCCTTGGCCCTCGATTCACATACTTTACTCTCCCCACAACATTCCAACCAGCCTTGCCCCGACGAAGCGAAAGCCAAAAAGACGGCAAAGTTTGCCTTGCGCAACGTTATCCCTGACCCAGTGCAAGCAATCGGATCTGGCATCTGAAGCTGGCTCGGTGATCTTTGATAGCTCGTCATTGTCGGCTGGCCCTTCGATACCGAACCTACCTCGCAATCCGGAGCCAACCAACCCTTTGAAGACAGCTCTCTCTAACCTCCCTTCTCCACCACAGACGACGACTACTACGACCGCATGGACAACAGGGCGTACCGCACGCCCTCGCCGGGCCATCCCCTTCAGCATGGCTATCAGCTGGAAGACAATCCGTACAGCAGGCCGCAAGGGGCCTTAGAAGCCCCCGTGGGTCCCGGCAGACTTCCAAGTCCCGGCGACTCGTTGCATATGCAAACTGCTGTAAGTTGGCGGCGACAAGTGGGCAGCAACGCGGGCAACACAGCTAGCTAACAGGGAACCTCTGGTAGCACTCGGTTGACAACTTGAGTGGTTACGGAGACCATCATGGTCCCCATGGAGGAGACTATAGCGTCAACCCCGAACAACATCACGATGCCTACTACAACCAACCGTACGAGCCGAACCCTGCCGACGGCCACCCTCTCGACCAAGGCCATGGCTACGATTACGACGATAGCCGGCCGATGCTGACCCATACGGACTCCCATACACAAGCGAACGATCCGTATCATGACAACGCTCAGCAACAACAGCCGGCCGCTCAGCCGCTCAAGCGATGGAAGACGGTGAAGCAGGTTCTTCTCTACAGGGGTAACTTGGTCCTGGACTGCCCGGTTCCGCCCCGGCTGCTCAACCAGTTGCCTCACGGTGAGCGCGACGAGTTCACGCACATGCGATACACTGCCGCCACATGTGATCCCTCCGAATTCTATGAGCAGAACTTCACCCTCCGACAAAAGCTCTTCAGCAAGCCCCGGAATACGGAGCTCTTCATCGTCGTTACCATGTACAACGAGGATGAGATTCTGTTCGCGCGAACCATGATTGGCGTGTTCAAGAATGTCGAGTACATGTGCAAGCGATCTGAAAGCAAAACGTGGGGCAAGGATGCCTGGAAGAAGATCGTGGTATGTGTGGTAAGCGATGGCCGTTCGAAGATCAACCCTAGAACGAGGGCCTTGCTTGCCGGCATGGGTGTCTACCAGGAAGGTATCGCCAAGCAGCAGGTTAACGGCAAGGACGTCACTGCACACGTCTACGAATATACGACCCAGGTGGGCATGCAGATCAAAAACGGCACAGTGCAGCTCATCCCGAAGCAGCAGCCGGTTCAGGTGCTGTTCTGTCTCAAGGAAAAGAACCAGAAGAAAATCAACTCGCACCGTTGGTTCTTCCAGGCCTTTGGCCGCGTTCTGGATCCCAACATCTGCGTGCTTATCGATGCCGGCACAAAACCTGGCGGAAGCTCCATCTATCACCTTTGGAAGGCGTTCGATCTCGAGCCCATGTGCGCAGGTGCTTGTGGTGAGATCAAGGCCATGTTGGGAACCGGAGGCAAGTATCTGCTCAACCCTCTCGTGGCTACCCAGAATTTCGAGTACAAGATGAGCAACATCCTCGATAAGCCTCTGGAGTCGGCCTTTGGCTTTATTTCTGTCCTGCCCGGCGCTTTCTCCGCGTACCGATACGTGGCTCTTCAAAACGACAAGAACGGTCAAGGGCCCCTAGAGAAGTACTTTGCCGGCGAAACGCTCCATGGTGCCGGCGCCGGCATCTTCACGGCAAACATGTATCTTGCCGAGGATCGCATCCTGTGCTTCGAACTCGTCACAAAGCGGAACTGTCACTGGATCCTGCAGTACGTCAAGTCTGCCACTGGCGAGACCGACGTGCCTGACAACGTCACGGAACTCATTCTCCAGCGTCGTCGCTGGCTGAACGGTTCCTTCTTCGCCGCCATCTACTCCACTGTGCACTTCTATCAGTTCTTCCGGTCGGATCACTCATTGTTTCGGAAATTCGCCTTCTTTATCGAGTTCGTCTTCAACACGATCAACATGGTCTTTGCCTGGTTTGCTATTGGCAACTTCTTCCTGGTCTTTAAGATCTTGACGACTAGTCTGGGCGACGAGAACCTACTGGGCAATGTGGGCAAAATCTTGGGTGTCGTGTTCGAGTGGCTTTACGGCGTCTCGCTCATCACCTGCTTCGTCTTGGCCATGGGCAATCGACCTGCCGGTTCTGGGCCCTATTACTTGGCCATGGTCATCTTCTGGGCCATCATCTTCGTGTAGGTTCTTCCCCGGGAGGGTTATTCTCTGCTCCACTTACTAAGTGCATACGGCTAACTCACCTCACCCTGACAGATACCTCATGTTTGCAGCGGTCTTCATCTCTTACAAGGCAATCAAAACCAATGTGGACCTTGGGATTTCGATCATGGACCTCTTCAAGAACCCCGTGTTCTATACGCTCATCGTCTCCGTCGTGTCGACATACGGTATCTGGCTCATCGCCTCTATCCTGATGTTCGATCCGTGGCACATGGTCACCTCGTTGTTCCAATACATGCTCCTAACTCCGACCTACATCAACGTGCTCAACGTCTACGCCTTCTGCAACACGCACGATATTTCGTGGGGTACCAAGGGCGATGATAAGGCCGAGAAACTGCCCTCAGTCAGCACGAAGGATGGCGCGGGCAAGACGGACCTCCCCGACGAGGGCGATTTGAACGCACAATACGAGCGCGAGGTCCAGGTCTTCTCCAGGAAGCCAGTCAAGGAAGTCAAGGCGCCAACGGATGCCCAGAAGGAAGAGGCTCAGCTGGATTACTACCGAGGTGTCCGGACCTTCGTCGTGCTGATCTGGATGATCACCAACTTCGCCCTTTGCGCCCTCGTCTTGTCCACCGCCGGCCTAGACAAGATCACCCCGCAGAGCGGCACGGAAGAGGAGACCAAGAGTGCCCGCGCCACCATCTACCTGAGCGTGGTTCTGTGGAGCGTCGCTGTCCTGGCTTCCTTCAAGTTCCTCGGAGCCATGTGGTTCCTAGTCGTGCGCATGTTCAGGGGTGTCTAGACTGTGTCTCTGATGCCCGAAACAAGAGAGCGAGAAGAAAATGAGGCTTGTCCTTTTGCTAACGGGCTTGACGTCCGGAAGCATTTTAATCTCTTCTTTGCCTTTTTCTGGCACATTCGTTTTGCGATTTTCCTCTCTATTGCGACGAGTAATACCCATGATAACCCGTTTCTTTTTTTCCGTCTTACCCTTTTTCCCTCCCTGCCCGATGGCCTCAGATTGCGGGACTCTGTTTTCTTAATGAAAGCGCAAGCTGTGTGGAGATTTGGGCATTTTGAATGTTTGTATTTTCATGAGGTTCATCTCCTCATTGGCGTTTATCGGCGTAGCATAGTTTGAAGGTCTATAAATGGTACACTTGCATCCAGACTTGTTTGATGCATCTTGGTGGCAACGCCCTTGAATTGACGAAGTAGAATCCCGATACCGAATCTCGGGTTGTGAACAAGCCGTTCCCCAAAAAAAAAGCCGTCTACTAAATACGGGGCCGGCCATGGTCATTGGCAGAGATGTCCCGGGGTAGAGAGGTCCCGGGGCGCCTTCGCCGGCGCCAAGCCGCGGTCTGCCGAACGACTTTGCGGAGTTCGCCTCCGCTCCCGAGGTTACACCGCAATTCCGCCTAGATGCGGCTATGATATGTCAATGTTGAAGGTACTTAGTATGTACATAAGCCAATCCGGGGTAGGGGGCGATTGGGCACGGGGCGACTGGGCACAAGATCGAGCTGGAAATGAGGCAGAGGTCCGCTCCATCAACAAGTCTCGCCGTCATCACCAATGGCCGGTGGCAGGTGACAAAACCAGAAATGACAACATGAAGTGCGTGATGTGAAAGAATCATCTTTGATGGCGGCATGACCTTCGACGCCAAGCCGTCTGGGCGAATCGCTGCAGCTTTCTGGGGCACCACCCCTGGCGGCTACTTCTACCCCATCTTCCCCTCATCGAAGTCGCTCTTTGGCGGAGTTCTAGGGAGGAGGTACCTTCACTTTCAGGGGATTTCAAGGCTATTCAAGACTGGCGCAATTGGCAAGTGGCAATTGGAGCAGCGACGTAACTATTAGGTACAAGAAACTCAGGAGGTGGAGCCTCGTGATCGGTTTTCAGCGCCAAGTGCAGCGGCCGAAAAGTTTTACTGTCACTCACACCAGCATTGCCGGGCAGTGGGTAATCCGTCCAGTAGTCCGCCATTCAGTTGGCACCATTGCGCCATCAGCCTTGGGCGTGAAGCTGCCAAGGAAAAAGGAAGGTGAAGTCGCTCTGGAGGGGCACACCACTCGCCTCCTAAGTGGCATATATGATCAAGCTTGAGCCCATCCCCACACCCCCAGGTTGCTGTACCTGAAGATCCTACGGATATTATATTAGCATCAAGCCAGGCATGCCACAATAGCACCCAAATGCTCTGAAAGGCTCCCATACTCGCCGCATTGTCGTCTCCCCAACCCCTTTTCTCTCCACGAGAAACCACCATCCCACATCCAAGAATGCCGTCCCACATATACACCATCACCGAACCACACCCAACCGTCCCGCCAAACTCCTACGCCCACACCGGCCGCGGCGGCGCCGGCAACATCTTCCGGGCCCCGGCCGCCACCACCACCACCGCCCCGGCCGCACAGACTACCACCGCCTCCTCCTCCTCCTCCTCCACAAGCCGCTTCTTCTCCGGCCGGGGCGGCGCCGGCAACGCGCGCCCGGCGGCCGAGCGGCCCTCCCTCGGCGCGGAGTACGCGCGCCGCGCCGACGCCGACGCGACCACCACCACCACCGGCGGGGCGCAGCACGTCGGGCGCGGCGGGGCCGGCAACGTCGCCTTCTTCTCCTCCTCCTCCTCCTCCTCCTGGGGCCCGGCGGCGCGGAAGGGCAGCGACGCGTCGTCGAGCAGCAGCAGCAGCGGCGGCGGCGATGGGGACAGCGTCCGGTCATCGGGGCTCTGGTCGCGGCTGACGGGTGGTCGGGGGTGAAGAGCCCGGGGGGGGGGAAGGGGGTGGGGGTGCCGGAGGCTGTTGCGCCTTCGTGTCTTCTGCTGGCTTGACCCCCCGCCCTCAAAACTCAACCTTGGTGCGCCCCCGGCACCGTGGCTGCGAATTTTCCCCCTCTCTTAATCGGGGACTGCGGTCCTTCCCTTGTTCGGCAATTGGCCGCGTTACGAACACATCTTCTCTCAGCGTCGCCTCGGGATTTTACGCCCCCTTGTTTTCAAAACGATACGATACCAACGACGTCCAAACGACGATTTAGCGAACGGGATGGGACACAGGATAGGAAAATGTCTGGATTTTGTTTTTCTAATGGCCTCGCTGGTCGGTCTTCTCAGCTCCCATGCCAGGGCCTCAGAGCAGCGGTCTTGAACCAAGGAGAGAGAAAAAAAAGGGGGAGTCGAAAATATCTACGGAAAGATACCCTTTATACCCGCTGGCTGGCAGATTCCAGGGGCCCTTTCTTCATTTCAAGCATTGCGGGCCGGCGTTTGTTTCCTGTGAACACTGTTATTATATATACCCCTTCCAAGAGGATTTTTGGACCTTGCGGTTGTTTTGGACGCGATGGATGGAGTTAATGGTATACGGAAATGCCCTAGGTAGCCTTTTTGAATCAGCTTGAGTCGATTCTATCACGTCACTCCTAATCCTGGTGGTGCCTTGGTCTAGTTGATGCTTGACTATCTTTCCAAACAAACCAACCCAGCCTCACCCAAGGTCTCGTAAAGTTCCCGAGTTCGGGGAGAGCAGCGTCATCAAAATACTTGGGTATCATTCACTTATTTTCCTCTATAACGCCTGAACAGGCTACAAGCTTTCGATACAGTTCGCCCGGCACGTCGAGTATATCTGCCACAATGAACAACCTTCCCCCCTTTCATATTGCCAACTCTCAGCATGGTTCCCCCGGTCGCGACCGGTCGGGCTAGTTCCCAACTCGGACGACTCGACTCACGCTGCGAGGCGGCGGCGACGGTTCGGCGTCGTCCAGAGAATGGCGCAACAACGTTGTTGGCTTCATCTTGATGATGCCCCTGACATAGAAAAGGGGCCGTCACAGTCACGTTCTGGACGCTGCCATCGATCGGGTAATCCGACTATGTGAACTTTGTGTGAATGATATCCGGGTTCTCGTGCCAGTCGTCGATGCTGACCCACATCTACGAGGGAGAGTTAGTGAACCAATCCTATTTTTTCCCATTATATCATCGTCAAGCAAGATGGGACCCGGGAGGGGGATGGCTCACCTTTCTAAAAGTACTCAACCCGGCGAGGATACTACCCCCGATCCAGGTAGAGTACTTCCGCTCCGGGGGCGCAAAGATCTTTATCCTCATGTCCTTGACGGCCAGCCGCTTTACCTCGGACAGCAACCTGTCCCCGAAGCCCTTGGTCAGGGTGCTGCCTCCCGACAGGACGATGTTCTGGTATAGGTCTTTTCGGAGGTCGAGGTCCGTCCTGTTGATGGAGTCGACCACGATCTGGTGGACGCCGGGGTACTCGAGCCCGATTATCTCGGGGTCAAAGAGGATCTCGGGGGCGCGGAATCTTTCTGCCCCGATCTTCGCAAAAGCAAGGAAAACGCGTCAGCATCAATACCGAAAATCAAGATCATCGAATTTTTTCCCTCTCACCTTCAGCTTGTTGCCGTCCGGCAGCACATACTCGGCCACCCTGGCCTGGTCCATCTTGGCGGCGGCCCACTCCTTCTCCTCCTTGCGGGGGTCCTGGGCGACGTAGGTGACGGACTCCTTGATGAGGCGCACGACCTCCTTCTCGGCGCTGGTGTGGAAGACGTAGCCGCTCTTGCGCAGCAGCGTCTGCATGTACTCGGTGACGTCCCGGCCGGCCACGTCGATGCGCCGTATGCTGTTGGGCACGGTGAAGCCCTGGTAGACGGGCACGGCATGGGACACGCCGTCGCCCGAGTCCAGGACCACGCCCGTCGTCCGGCCGCTCGCGTAGAGGGAGAGCACCGCCTGGATCGACGTGTAGAGGGCGGGCACGTTGAAGGTCTCAAAGAGGATCTGCGCCGCCGTGTCTCGATTGCTCCGCGGGTTGAGCGGCGGCTCTGTGAGGAGGACGGGGTGCTGTGCGTAGGGGGTGGAAAGAATCCGGGCTCGTCAGTACAAATCAAATCACACAGATAAAAAGGTGTAATGCAAACAGCCGAGAGGGAGAGGAGAGAGAGATCCAGAACTGACCTCTTCGCTCAACGTCTTCAACCCCTCATCGTACACGTAACCCCATATCTTCTCCATGTCGTCCCAGTCCGTGACGATGCCATGCTCGAGCGGGTACCGGATCTTGAGCAGGCCCCGAAGCTCGGTCGCCGCCCTCTGGCCGATGAAGACCTCGCCCTCCAACGCGCCCGCCAGCACGCGCAGGTGCTTGGGCCGGCCGACGAACGACGGGAAGTAGCACTTGGGCAGGTCCTCCCCTGCGAAGCCGGCCCGGATCGTGCCCGACCCGTTGTCGAGGACGATGGGCGCGTTGTGCAGCGAGTCTGTCATCTTGCCGTTGCGGCTACCTGGTCGGCTGCTGCTGCTGCTGGTGCTGTTCCCTCGCTTGGCATAAAGGCCCTTTCGCCCCTCCCCTCCCGGTCAATACAACGCGCCGTCCTCGGGTCGTGTGGGGCAGGGCTTCTCTGGCTCAGGTTCTGGGGGCTCTTCCGCTGCCTAACGTCTTTAAAGGGCCAATGTCGTTGGGAGTGTCGAAAGTCTAGGTGCTGCGTTTCGGAGCTATGAAGCTGCTGTGCCGATGATCGTGTCGCGTTTCAGAAGAGGAAGGTGGGGAAAAAGAGATGGGAAAGGTAGCCTCCGATATTGGGGTGCTGTTTTCAGAGCTTTGGGCTTGCAGATTTGTCTTCAGAGGCGTTGTCGTGTCGTCGTTTGCAGAATCTGGGGACGGTTTAATTGCAGGGGCCTGGTTCACGAACGCGCTGTTCCTCCAGGGGTTTCCCGGTCCCCGGCCTTTTGCCTGGTCAAAGCTCCGATGTCACTGGTGGAGCTGGTGCACGAACCAGTTCCCTTGTTTTAAAAGGGGGGAAACGGAGGTAAACATTTGGAGACATCTGTAGGAGACAACCTGCGTCATGATAGACGAAAGATGCAATATCAAGAAACAAGCTCTCATTTCGTCTGCGATATCCTATCGTGATCTAGTTGCGTTGAATCTCTGGCAGATTCCGCAATTGACTTTTTAAGCTACAGTGTCGAACTCATCGGCTTTCGAGTCCTCTTCACATTTGAAGCGCCTAAGTGTTAGTCTTGAGTCACCTTCAGCAGGGAAGATGAATACACGACTGGTGATCTCCTTTTCCAGATACGCGACCGGAGTGCCATTATACCTTTGAGCTGGTTTCCAGTGATTGTTGTTTTAAAAGACAAGGTATCACAGCAACTTCATGAGCTCACGTTATCAAAGTTACCGAAGTTGGCCTCAGGGGACAAGTTCTGCTCCTAACAAAGCAGATATATTCGCCTATGTCGTGCGGTATATGTGTATCCAAGTTCCTTAACGCCCATGAAAGCCGCCCCAAACGCCCGCAACGCAATATGTACTGGCTTCATCTCGCCGCGAGGTATATGCAAGGGGGATGGCCCACCGAAGACTCTATCCAAAGCCAGCCATCTATCCAATTAACCACCATCCCCATGTCAACCACTGTCCTAGGAGAAGGAATCGTCCCGATATTAACCGATGTGGCCATCCATGAGGGCCTTCATACCCAGCGGCCACCCGAGAAGGAATACCATGCCGGGGAAGAAACTGATGCGGAACTTGATCAGTAAACTAGACATCTCTGGGAAACGAGTTTCCATCGCCCGCGTTGAAGCGGTGATCCATGGACAACTTACATCACAGCCTGACTGCCGACCCTCCTGCCCAGCTTGCCCCAGTCTGCCGCCTGGGGATTCGATGTTACGGGAAGCCGCGAGAACGGGTGTGACTCGAAGCCCCGAGCGAACTTGCGCATCGACGTCATGATCGAGAACTGTCTCCGTCCAGCGGCGCGGATGGCGGCGCGCGCGACGATTGGCGACATGATGGTTTGGTTTAGAAGTATGGAGTTTTGTTTTCGAGCTCGAGACGAGGACCCCGATTATGTGTAAGAGCGGGGAGTGGGTGATCTGGAGGGAGAGGTCCGATATAGAATACAAGAGCGGGGAGTTGCTTGCTCGCTCTCTGAGGAGATGATAAGACTGATTGGAGATGTCTATGTGTTTCAGTACGATGGTGATGAACGAAGAGAGGTCGACACAGCCTATGCCTGGCAGTGGCTCTTATACATGTGGAAAGTAGGGTTCCCAAATCTGTAAGTTGCCCAGCTATTCCAGGCTTTGCGGCGAGTTCCCATGGCTTATGTCATTATGGCTTGACAGATGGCCAAATCCGCTCCGTCATTTGTTCGTTCCCTCAGCTGTGGCATCACTGCTATGGGTCACCAAGGAATCTGGAGGAAGCCAGATCAGTGAGATTGGAGCTTTACGGTCAAGATAGGCACGTTTACACATGTTTGGGGGTATCAATCATGCCATCTCACCAAGGAAACACCAGATCATGCAGCTCAGCCCTGCGTTGGGCCCAATAGAAGTTGGCCAACCCTCTGAAGAGAGTAAAAGGTACAAACCAAATGCTGATGGGTGGGACGATTACTTTATGTGGTGGTGCTATGCTGGGTGGCCAGAACATGCTCTGATTAGTCCCATGAGACATGGCCGGCGCCGAATCAGGCCATCGGAATACCAAAGCGTTGCAACCAATGGGAGTAGTCGTTTGAAACCGGATCCGCCACCGCGGAATACAATGGCGCAATTCAGGATTGAATTTCCGATTTGTCCCATTGATCGAGCAGGGCTGCAGTTGGCTTAATTAGCTGCGGCTCCGCTCAGTCCGTCGCCTTCCCTTTTTTAAAGCTCGGGTCCCAGAAAACGTGGAACCATCTGGATGCGCCGCGAACTTTGGTCGGGCCGCTTGATTTGGCTGCCACCGGAACGGAGGAAACTGCCAGCTGAGGAGGACGATACCGGCAAGTCCCGCAGTCTGCCATGGTAGAACTCGCCGGGATTTTATTCGTGCGAGAGGATCACCGTCTATCCACAGGGCAATACGTCCATGAAATGGTTCTTGGGTATCATGGCATTGCATTTACTTGGCCCGGATAACCTGAGTACCATCGGCTGGTTCGAGTACCTGCCAGTTGCACTCGATGTTACGTTGTTTGAATATATCCATGATCTTCTCTGCGATCTCCTGGAAGTTGCTTGTGGCAAGCGCTAATATGCTTGGGCCCGCCCCAGACAAGCAAATCCCCAACAGCCCCGACTGGGTGCCGGGCGTCATTGACTCGACGATCTCACTCAGGCCGGGGATCAGGGTTTGCCTGTATGGCTGATGTATCTTATCCTGCATGGCAAGGTAGATCAGATTCGGGTCCGGAGGAGACTGGCCAAGCGCCACGGGCAGGAGAGCTATCCGCTGCAGGTTGAACGTCTAATATCCACGACATCAGCATACAAGTTAGGCGTCTGGCGGCGAGGGGGCGAGGCACTTACCACATCCGACCGGGGGTACTGGGCGGGCAACACCCCCCGAGCCTTATGAGTCGGGACTTCGAACTGGGGGATAATGGTGACGGCCTTGATCTCCGGAGCCCACGGAAACTTGATGTGGTGGCCAATAGCGTGAGGAGGCTCGGGAGGCTTCACCCCAGTGTCGACGCCGCCCGCAGGGGCAGGGAGCACCTCACTGAGGGGAATCTCTGTGCGGGCCACGTCCTCGGGCTTCAGGGGGTTCAGATAAGTGCCAACGAACCCACCGAAGAGAGCCGCTCCGACATTGTCGGGATGACGTTCTGTCCAGCTGTCAGAGATCGACCAAGGTATATTCGCAGGCGCCGACATGTTGCTTACCGATCATAAGACAGAAGTCAAACAAGCGGCCTTTGTCGAGGTTGAGCCGCCCACACTCGTTACCGAGCTGGACGCCAGCTACGACGGCAGCCCCCGAGGATCCCAAGCCTCTTCCAAGAGGGATCGGGTTCTTGATGTGCACATGAGTCTCCGCAGGGAATGTGCGCTGGTTGTGGCATCTCAGAACATAGATGGCGACACGGGTGATGAGATTGGCCTCAGGATCCAGGCTTATATCATCGGAATCCTCGCCTTCCCCCTCGTACGTGATCCGGCAATTGAGCGGCTCGCTTGATTCGCCCTTGGACCGGTCAATGGTGACATGCAGCTCCAAGTACATAGAGAGGGCCAGGCCGATAACATCGAAACCAGGTCCGATGTTGGCGCTTGAGCACGGTGTCTTAATGACAAAGGACTCGGTTGGCGAAGCCATGGCGGAAATCGACGTAGACCAATATTTGCAAGCTTCAGAGCACCAATCCTCCGGAAGCCTATCCCTCTGACCTGAGGAAGCCAAGATTTCTGATTTTTCCCTCGACGGCGGATGTTCAATTTCCTGGGCGGATTTTTGCAGGCAATTTTCGCACTCACAGTCGAACACGGGCAAGTCCAGACAGTGCTGTCACCTGTCCGACAACCTAGCCCGAGTCTGAACCTATCCATTTCAGTGGTTCGGATAGGAGTTTTTCCGGTAAGACCCCTCCATGTCGGGTCAAACTGGTGTCTGACTCCCATTTTTGGCCGATTCTCGGACTTGTGGCTTATCTGGCAGCTGATTGTAGATAGGGCAAAACATCACTTCCGCATGCCCCCTCTCCATAGGTAGTATCCATGAAATAGGTCTGTACCATTATCGTCCCGCGTGAGCCGAGACTACAACAATCTGGTCCACCGCGGCCACCCAACCACAACCCGGAAACGCAGCCGAGGCCACGAGACGCATGTACGACGGCCGCGCGCCAACGTACTAGATCTCCTAGCCCGGACTACACGGAGTTCACGGTGCTGGTTCCGCCGGCGGGGCGACCGCGTGTCGCTGACCTAGGGGCCCATCCCGGTCGGCGGCGACTGGGAGGAGGAGGAGGAAGCAGTGGTGGTAGAGGCCTGGCCAGTGCCGCGGGGCGGGTTCGACGTCGCGGTGTGCTCCAACGTGCTCGTGCAGTTTCGTGACTCGGCGGCGGTGACCAGGCGTGGCCCGTCTTCAAGGACGAGTTCGCCAGGCCTGCCGTCGACGGTAAGCTTGAGGTGATCGAAACGCTTTATATCTACATTGCCGGGAAGAGCGAGTAAGTACCTTACCCACCCGAGCAGCAGATATGAAGGACAAGCTAGGCTAGGGTCCTGGTGAAAGGTGCACCTATCTGCAATGCGCTTTAATTTCTAGTCGTACTAGTAAAGCAAGCAGCTGTGAGCATGCTTATACATTCACCGAAGCTCCTGAGTACCTAGGTAACATCCATTGCTCAGCGAAAATGAATCAAAACTACCTATACGTAAACTTATTGCGCAGTGAGTATAGCACACTAATGTGCTGCTTTAATGGCTCTACCCCCTCAATTCTCAGAAAAAGGGGAAACAACCTAGATGAAAGGAGCAATTAATGACGGTTGGTTGTTGGTCCGATAGCGCTAGCAGAACGGACGGTAAACGGCAAAAAAAACTAGGCGGTGAAAAAGGTGAATCATAGCATTCACCGACCATCCACTTACTCATAAACCACTTGAGTGTCTCTTGGTTTCACAAGACCCGACTCCATCATATCTCATCTGTCTCAACTCGGCCACACGTTAGCTACCCAGCCAACTCCAATTGACCCCTCTCCACCATGGCTGCCCCTACAAACGTGCTCCATCTCCGCGCTGAGACGAAGCCCCTCGAACATCGTAGCGCTCTGACTCCTTCGACTACCAAGGTTAGAGAGACACACCTTAAGCATATTGAGGGCTTTCTAATCGCGGTGCATTTTAGGATCTTATTGAAGCCGGATATACTGTCAATGTTGAGCGCGATCCCCAGCGCATCTTCGAGGACTCCGAGTTCGAAGCTGTCGGCGCTTCTCTCGTGCCCACTGGGAGCTGGGTTGATGCTCCGAAGGAGCACATCATTGTCGGTCTGAAGGAGCTCGAGGAGAAGGACTGTGAGTCACTGGGCCATCTCTCGCTCAGGTTCGGCCTGACCCGGCTAACGGATGGAAAGTCGCTCTCAAGCACACCCATGTGCAATTGTATGTGCCTTGGCATTCAATGGAGGCCAATTGGTGTCCTGCTCGCTCCAGGGGATGATCTAACATTTACAGTGCTCACTGCTTCAAGAACCAGCATGGCTGGGACAAGGTGCTGAGCAGGTACAGCCGTGGAGGAGGCACCCTTCTCGATCTCGAGTTCCTCGAGAAGGACGGACGCAGAGTCGGTGAGTAGCCATTTGTGATAGCCACATATGCGGTCAAGGTCTCGACGCTAACTGTTCTCAGCGGCATTTGGATTCTGGGCAGGTTTCGCGTCAGTTGCCCACAACAAGACTCGTCCTTGTACCCGGCTAACTCGTGTAGTGGCGCTGCGCTTGCCATCAAGAACTGGGCGTTGCAGGTGAGCAAGGGCAGCCAACTCTCATCGGTCGAGAGTTTTCCCAACGAGGCCGCCCTCATCGCCCATGTGAAGGAGGTCTTCGCCGAGGGACAAGGCAAGGCCGGCCGCATCCCCCGGGTGATTGTTATCGGCGCCCTTGGCAGGTGTGGCAGGGGAGCAGTGGACATGTGCCAAAAGGTTGGCATTCCAGACGAGAATATCCTGAAGTGGGATCTCGCGGAGACAGCCCCTGGTGGCCCATTCAAGGAGGTTGGTTCTTACCCCCGATGATGCTTGTAGAGGCGCTGCTAACAGGTGGATACAGGTTGCCGAGAGCGATATCTTCATTAACTGCATCTACCTGTAAGTGACCCTCGGCCAGAACTCCGTTTTGAGGCGATAGGAATCCGATTCTAGGATGAGGACCGGGCGCTTTCCCCCAACCCTATCTCCTCGGGCTACGTGAGAGACCTTACTAAGACGGATCGTCTGCTCAACAGGAGCAGCCCAATTCCGCCGTTTGTGACCTTGGAGAGCCTGAACAAGACCGCAGACCGGAAGCTTTCCGTGCTCTGTGATGTCAGCGCCGACTCGACCAATCCCTTGACCCCAGGTACGGTTTCCGGATCACCACTGCTTGGTCAGCTGTAACCTAACTGACGGATTTTTAGTCCCGGTGTACACCATCACCACCACGTTTGAGAAGCCAACGGTCATGGTGGAAGGGTTGGAGAAGGAACCCGCAGTGAGCGTCATCAGCATTGATCACCTCCCCAGCCTGCTGCCGAGGGAAGCGTCCGACACTTTCAGCAACGACCTGCTGCCGTACCTCCTCACCCTCAAGGACTGGCGCAGCGACCCAGTCTGGGCGGGAGCCGAGAAGTTGTACAAGGAGAAGGTGGCAACCTTGCCCGCGACTGCGTTGAACTAAGACGTATAAAGCTCAGGCGATGGTGGGTGACTTCTTTGTGGCGTTTCGGGTTCCGGAAAGTACATCATAGATAGAAGGATTCTACATGTGTCCCGAGAATATCTGCGGAAGTGTTTTGATCAAAAGTGCTATATATTTTCCCTGTGCCTGGTGATGTTGTCTCCCTGTATCTCCGCTGGTTCGCTTGAAGCTGCTACGAAGCACAGTAGTGTACGGCACCATGACTGTTGCATGCGAAGAGACCTGTTCTGTCAGGTCCTCGGCCAGCTAACCACCGAGGGCCCAGAAGCCCATCACCGGCAGTTTATAGTTGGCGGGACAACCAAGCCCCTGTACCTGCCGCCGTACTCACCTATCTCAGGTCGTGGCTGGCCGCCAGAAGTCTCGGCTGTCCGCCCCACCCTCAAGGCAGCCCAGGTTGACGGTGCTAATAATGATGGCCCTTCCTAACAGGACCAGCCTATCTCGACCCAGGTCCTTAGACAAGTCTCTGAAAGGCCTGGCTGCTAGAGACCTAGCCCCCAAGCTCAGCAAGAAGACGAAAGCGACGGCGGGGCGTGTCAAGGCCAATTGCAGGCTTACCGACGACAAATACATAGGCATCCCATTGTCTAACGAGTGCTTCTTCCTCGGCTACAACGGGAAGCCTTACGGTGATCACGGCGACTCTTGATCAGTAGTGTACGATTCCCATGGGCAGGTGATGGGGCTACTGTTGCCAGACAGTCGCCTCAGCAAACCGCCAACGACGGTCACCCTTTCATCATGCCTATTGAATGAGTTTTTGCGACACCAAGGAATTCTTCAAGGGCACTGTAATGGCTGTCTGTAGGTTATCTGATAACTCACTCGACAAAGTGAGATTCCCAGGAATCTCAGGTTGGTAGGAGACTGGATGAAGAGGATTGTCCCCAAGAATCATTTTTAGGCATGCAGAGACCAGCATTCGACGGGTTTATTGTCACGTACTCATTCGGGGTTGGTGAATCGTGTAGTCATTAGAAGGTTGGTATATTCTAGATCGAAGATCATAAATATGAACTCTAGCCCTATATGAGAGAACTGCGCTTCGTGTCTCCTTATAGGTCCTGAACAGTTTAGCTCATACATATTATTCGGGGCGGTATGATATAACAGTGCATTCCGGGTATCGTACTGACTAGTGCAAATGTACCTCCGGTAGTAGATCGTTTGAACCTGGATCCAACTAGGATATCCTTCGTGGCCCTGTGAGAGAAAGGCTAAGACCTCATCGCGTGAAGCAGGCCTACATGCAGCAATAGGTCCTTGGTCGACCACCACAGCGCAAGTATCTGTGATGCATGCCTGCAGCCACCACTTGGTAGCAATGTTCTGGCATGCTGCCAGAATGGAAACCTTCTCGTGGCGCGGGAAACGTGACACGCCAGGGAGGGGCCGTACAGCGTTGTCATGACCGCCCAATCTTGAAAGACAGGACCTGGCAGATAGTTAGCAATCGCAACTAGGGTCATACGAAGGAGGGGGGGGGGGGTGGGGGGGGGGGTTCGGCTCACGTCGTTCTTCCCCACAGATACAATCTGGTCCTCAGCAACTCGTTGTCCCCCGGCACCCTCGATATAGGCAATGGGGGCATCTCCCATGAGTTTCCTCCCGACGTCTGCCACTGTCGTGTTCTTCTTGACCAGGACGCAATCTCGAAAGACTGCCTTGGAGTCTGTCGCCCCGGATGCGAAACTCGTCGAATTCCGCACAGGGAAGACAGGAACGAGTCCCAATATCTCGGCGGCTTTTGACAGCACTTGCACCACACCAGTGGACCCAAAACGATAGAGAACCATGTCTTTCAGGTTCTCTATCCTATTTCGGTTCTTCTCGTCGAGCTCCTTCAGACCCCCACCATCCGGATCCCCATCTGCGATGAGGTCTTCTCTTGTATCCACGAACTCGCTTCCTTCTGTATACCGGATATACCCCTGTTTTGCCATCCTCCTCAGAAAGGTCTCTGAGATAGCTGAGCACAGAACGATAGAATTCGGGTCCTGCATCTTCGCAATCTTGGCGATGTTCTTGTCCGCGTCCGGGTGGTCGATCTTGTTCAGCGCGATGACGGTCGGGAACTTCTCGTCAGTAAAGGCGTTCACCACCCGCTCGATCGTCGCCTCGTCCCAATCCTCCAGCGGCTCCTTCATGCCCATCCTGTCCAGCGTGCGCGCCACGAGCGAGCTCGTGCTCCCGTACCCGCTGAACTGGCCCTGCAGCGTCTCGACGGCCGTTGACTTGGTCGCGATGTGCCGTCGCCGGATGCTCCCCCACCGCTCCATCAGGTTCCCCTTGATCCAGGCGACGATCTCGGACCGCAACCAGGCGATGTCCACCGAGGGGTCGTAGCCGCGCGTGTTCTTGCCCTCGGCGTCCGTCGTGCCGGACACGTCCACCACGTGGATCAGCGCGTCGGCGTGCCGCAGGTCGTCGAGGAACTTGTTCCCCAGCCCCTTGCCCTCGTGGGCCCCTGGCACCAGACCGGCCACATCCAGGAGCTCGATCGGCACAGAGCGCTGGCCCTCGATGCAGGAGCCATAGTTGGGCTTGCACCGGTCGGACACGCCGTACCGGGCGCAGGCGCAGGCGATCTGTAGGTAGCCGACGGCGCGTTGTGGGTCGATGGTGGTGAAGCTGGTGGTCCGGAACGGTTGTCATATGTTAGCCTGGGCCTGGTAGGGCTTGCTCGACGGGAGTACCGTACGGGAAATTTCCTGGATAATAGCTATATCAGCGCCGGGGCCCATCTTCGCCGAGTTGGCTTGCGCTTGGAGGGTAGGCGGGGTACGAACCAACTTTGGAGGAAGCATCGGTCAGAGAGTTTAAGGTGCTCGACTTGCCGGCACTGGGCTTGCCCACTAGTCCGATGAGAGGATCTCGAGGCATTGTATGCGGATTCCAGACTGACCGGGCGGGGGCGGGGGGGGGGAGAAAAGTTGGCGGGGTGATCAAAGTAAAGTTGTTCGAGGCTCTAAGTTGCGAAAATCTCCGCCCCACCATGGGTGGGATGCCAGGTCGAGATAAGATAAGTAGTTTATTGAGTGTATGTAACTATCCGATTCGGAGACGCACATATCCACTACGGATATCTTGTTCCGATTCAACGCTGGGGACCCGCGGGACAGACACATATATCCCGAGGCTTGCGCAGCTAACGTGCTAACGTCTCTCATACCATGCCTCGATCAGAGATCCCAATTGAAGCCCTTCCGGCGTGGTCCCTTCTAAACAATGTTTGCTTTGTCGACACCGAGATCGCAAAGACGGGGGAGGGAAGGGGGTTCGGCCTGCTCATTGGCCGGAGCTTGACTACGACAGATGGGAACTCTGATATCCCCGCCTTGGTCACAATCCCGAGCAGTATTATCCTCAACAAGGAGGCGGTGGAGGTATATGCCAAGGAGGATCGAAACTTCAGGCAGTTGCTTGATGTTGCTGGGCACGAGGTATTGTCCCGTCTGATGCTGTGGGGTCAACCTCCCTTGCTGGTTGTCGGGCTAAACAAGACCATAGTCGACTAGAGGAGACATCTTGTTGTTCCTCCTTGTGCAGTTGGCTCACGCTTCTGCTGGGAGTCATTCATCAGCCGGAGTGTCGAACCCATGGACCGAGTACATCAAGTTCTTGCCAGGCGAGGTTCCTGTGCCCACGTTATGGACCGAGGACGAGAGACTGCTTCTGGCGGGAACATCGCTGGAATCAGCCCTGAAGGCCAAGCTCTCTACGCTGGCATCTGAGTTTGAGTTTATACAGGATAAATCATCCGACATACCCTTCTGGAACAGCGTGCTCTGGGAAACAGGTGCGATACGGTTCAGAGACTGGACCCTTCTCGACGCTTGGTACCGATCCCGTTGTTTAGAACTGCCCAGTTCGGGAGAAGCGATGGTCCCGTGCATCGACATGGTCAACCACTCGAGCAACCCAACAGCTTACTATGAGGAACGCTCAGGAGATGATGTGAGGTTATTACTCAGACCGGGCATCAGTGTTTCCAAGGGCGACGAGATAACGATCAGTTATGGGGACGACAAGTCCGCTGCAGAAATGCTTTTCAGCTATGGGTTCCTGGATGATGCCTCGAGAAAGGGAAGCCTTACCCTCCCGTTGGAGACTTTCCCGGACGATCCATTAGCAAAGGCAAAGCTTTTTGTTTTCGGAGGACAGCCTAAAGTCCACGTGGCACTGAACAGCGAGGGTGACATTGAATGGAAAGGTCCGTTCGCGTATCTGATGTGTGTCAACGAGGAAGATGGGTTGGAATTTAGGGTCTTGCAGGACACCGAAGGAACCCGGCAGCTGCGACTCTTCTGGATGGACGAGGATGTTACCGACCGTGCAAACGATTTCGAAGCACTGATTCGGAGCCACGAACTCTGGGGCGTCTTCAAACTCCGAGTGGTTACAGTGGTGCAAGGCTGCTTGTACACCCACCTGCAGCGGATGCAGTCGGTCGTGTCTCTCGACACAACAGATACCGGGGTATCGAACATACGCGAAACATGCATGAGAGCAGCGACATCGCTCCGCGAAATCGAAACGAGCTTATTAGAAAAGGGGGTGGAACATCTGGAGAATGAGGTAAGCCCAGCCCGTTGACCGAGGCCAGGTCCAGTTAGGGTCTTCCTGCTGCTGCACGAAACACTTCTCGAGTCCCAATGCGACGCTCCGTCGTATATGGAGGTGGCTGACGACTCCCATCTTGATGTAGAAAAGCACGCTAGCTACGGACGAACACGTGTTGTCCTACCTCGGATCGATGGAAGCTACCGAATCTGACCTAGTTGACCGAGAGGCGCCCAATGACGATGAGGATGACTTCAGCTGATTGACCGATCTCCGAAAGCCTGCGAAGTGCTTCAGAAATCAATTCCGGGGTCGAGATTCAAGCGTCCGTTGCTGTTGGTGTGCGACTTAGTCATGGCCGATTAGCGGATCGGCGTCCCAAGTACGGATTACGTTGTACACCAACTTTGGTCACACGATTATCAACCTATATGACGCCGATTGCCTGCCTAGCTCCCATTTCTTTGGCGGAAAATGGAAGGGATCATCGGTGCGCTCTCTGGGCTACATGTAGCCGTTCCAGAACACTATTCAACTCGAGTGTGCGACGTATACTGACCGCTACCGTTATCCCTTTTATTCGAGGAGATTGGCTATCGAACCTTCACCCGGAGGATAAAAACGGTCCAGTGGAGCGAAAAGTGTGATACAGTTTTATTGGGCTGTGGGGATCACATGATTAGTGCATATGCAAGGAACGACGGACTTTTGCCGATTAGTCCCGTCTATTTTCTAACTTGCTAGGCCTCGCCCGAGCTTGGGAAGTGCGGGGGAGGCGACGGGTCTCGAATGAAAGAAGCATCATGGGTTAGCTGTCTTTGCGAATCCCTGAATGGCCTTGTAATATGGACTTGATTCAAGCTTCTAGGATATCTCCTCCAGGGCTACAGCATTTGCCGCAGGCAATAACAAGCAGCTTTCGATTGGTTGGCAGCTTGGCAAGTTGGATTTCCCTGAACTAGCATGAGTGACTGGGGCAATATCGCTGCCATATCCAAGCAATATCTCGGTCAGCACTCCCAATCTTGGTTATATTGGAGACTCGACGAAGGAGCCAAGTCCAGCAGATCCGCCTGCCTCTCGCCCGCACTCTCATCTGTGCCTGGCAGCTTGGCACACCCTAATAAAAGCAATCTGTCGTGGATTTTGCGGAGGCGATCCTCATGTTTGAATTTGAAATCTTTCAACTTTCTATAGTTGTGGACGGTGTCCGTGTCTATATGGAGTTAGTTGCCACTGCCTGGACTCTGGTCCAGAGCATCGATCGAGTCCTTTAGTACCTATCGTGTGCTACCTACTTTCGCTGGCTTGTTTATCTTTGGTTTTCTACTTATCGTCGAGGAGGTATGTACGTCATGGTTTCCAACAGCAGACAAGCATGAGCGGGAAGATCACTTCCTCATGCTGTGTACACTCGTGGGCGTGTTTTTACCGCCCAGCAACTTGGAGTCATCATAGTCTTGGCCATTGCTCTTCATGATTGCTTCGGTCAAGTCGAAGAATGCAATAACTGAGGGGGCATATAGCTCTGTCCCAGATGCCAAGAACCTACTTCCAGAGCATTTTCACGTAGGGGGGATAGTGTAGTTAGGTAACTGCTACAAGAAATGGGCCAATGCCAGTGCGCCCAAACGGAAGATGTCGGACATCGACCGACGACGCCTGGGCCAACCTTCCATCCACCTGTGATATGATGCCATTCGCCTCCACCCGCAGATTCCGGGGTTAGCGTGTCTGGTCGTAGGGGTGGCGAGGTATTCAGATAGTCGGCTGGCTGTCAATGGCTGGACTCTTGGATACCAGGCCTCTCTTCTAGGGCTGTTGGTGAAAAGTGGTGCCATTTTTCTGCGCAAACTTCCGTATCACGTCTCCCTTGTAATCCCTCCCCCAGCTTTCCCCGAACGAACCATCCGCAAGTGGGTCACCATTCGCCGGTTAGGCGGGGGAAAGAGGGTTGGGGTTCATGGGGACCCAGTTCTAGAAGTAGTTGCCGATCAAGCTCCTGATTGGGCGATGCCACCCTCCCCCAGATTCTGTGGGCTTGAGCACCCCGGCAACCTATCTCGCTTTTTCGCTCGCCCATCCTCTGTGCCAAAGGTCTGTCTAAGTCTTTCGTAATAAAAGTCGCTCACACCCCCCGCCCTTTCAACGGCCGCCCATGACTCTTGCTCCTTTGTGAAGGAACCTCTGTTATTTCGACGCTGCAACGACAGACTTGCTATTTCTCGACGACATTGTGCATACAGCAGATTTTACGCGCCCCACCAATAAGGACAAATGCTTCTATCCGTTTACAGCCTGCTTAGCGTTGTGTCCGTTTACTAGCCGCGCCTCGCCTCACCCTTCGGCCCCTGCTTCGGCCTCTTCTGTCAATCACACAACTCAACTCCACTCAAACTCGACCACCACTCCGGAGGAACTTGAAGGATAGACGAGAACGTCGAGGGCACCCCTCGCTGCGAAAATGCCGGGAATCCTACCTATGAAGGTTATCAAGGTAGGCACCAGCTCCCAGAGCCGCATCGCCCAGGCTTGCGATCGCTGCCGCAGCAAGAAGATCCGTTGTGATGGCATCCGCCCGTGTTGCTCGCAGTGCGCCAATGTCGGTTTCGAATGTCGCACCAGCGACAAGCTCAGTAGAAGGGCCTTCCCACGTGGATACACAGAGTCGCTGGAGGAACGCGTGCGGCAGTTGGAGTCGGAAGTTCGGGAACTGAAGGACCTGCTCGACGAGAAGGATGAGAAGATCGACATGCTCTCAAGGATGCATGGCAACAATGCACGCACGCCTGCTGCGCCCAAGCAGAGCCCGCACACGTCATCTGGCGACCAGAGGGACCCGAGCCCACGTCCGAAAGAGGACACTTTCCGCGTCCAAGCCTCGCCTCTCCTCCTTGGAGTCGAGAATTCCGATTCTTATTTCATGGGCGCTTCCAGCGGCCGGGCATTCATCGGTTAGTCTCCCCATGCGCTGCTTGGTGCGACCCCTATACTGACTTCTGATGCAGAGGCGTTCAAGCGGAAGGTCCAGGAGAACGGCAAGCCTTGCCCCGATTTTCTCCCCGAGACATTCCTGCACATTCAAGGGTGCTATCCTCTCATCCCCAAAGCGCCCTCCCAGGCGATGAGAATCCCAGCGCGGTTATTCACCGATCGATGCGTCAATGTCTACTTCCAGGAGTGGGCTCCCTTATTCCCCGTTCTCCACAAGCCGACATATCTACGCGTCTACGAGGAATTTGTGGCGGATCCAGAGAAGATCAAAAACAACCATAAGCTTGCCCAGCTCCATCTTGTCTTCTGTATTGCCGCCCTATCAAGCGAGCACCCCGATCTCGAGCAGATTTCCGCTTGTGAGCTGCAATGGCAGAGGTCCTTGGACGCGATCATCATGGATAACACCGTCATCACTCTTCAGTGCTTGGTGCTTGCCTTGATGTACTGCACCGTCAGAGCCGATTACAAGCGATTGCAACACTACAAGGGCATCGCCGTTGGGCTGTCTCACCGCCTCGGGTTGCACCAGAGTCAAAAGCGCTTCTCGTTCGGCGCTTTGACGATTGAGACGCGGAAGAAGGTGTTCTGGACCCTGTACACACTCGACTGGTATGTACTTTACCCTATCTACGTTTCCCTATTCCCTCGTATGAGATGAGATATTAACCATGTCAGTTTCTCTGCCGCGATCCTTGGTCTTCCCAAGCTTCTCAAAGAAGACGACATTCACGCCGAGTACCCGTCCGACACCGACGACGAGTACGTGACTGAGAAGGGCTTCGAAGCATGTCTTCCCGGTGAGCACACGCGTCTATCAAGCGCGCTGGCTCTCTTCCGGGCGACCCGCATCCTCGCAAGAGTCCTCCAGAGGAACTACCCTGCAGCAACATCGCACGAGTTGTCTTTGCAACAGATGTCCGCGCTTCAGGCTGAGCTTGACGAATGGTCGGATAACCTGCCCTCACACCTGAAGCTCACCTTCAAGCAAGACAAGCCTTCGACGGATTTGACCGGGAGCCGATCTCCGCTGCTAGTAAGTAAAATTAGAAGCCTATCTCAAGCTCAATCTCGCAATCTAACCATTTGCCAAGGCCCTCGCATATTACTACACCAAGACTCTCATCTACCGGCCTGCTGTAGGGTCCAGCCTGGGCTCGAAATCTGCCCCTGCCCTCATCGCGATAGGCGAGTCGAGCAAGCATATCGTCCAGATCGTCCAGCTTTTGGAGGAGAGGAATATGTCCTTCTCATTTTGCCTAAATAAGACCGACACCCTGGTCCTCTGCGGCATGACATTGCTATATCAGAGCCTGGATCTGGGGCACGGGAGCAAAATGATGAAGGATAGCGAGAAATATGCCAATGCCGTAATCAAGATAGTCGACAAGGCGAAGGCTCCTGGTTCGCTCGAGTTGAAGCAAATCGCCGGAACGCTCATTACCCTGGATGATCAGCCTCAGCCGCAGCCGCAGTCGTCATTCCCGGCACCAGCACGACGAAGTCCCGATGCCTGCATGGCGGCTCCACCCAACCGATCATCGCCCCCGACCTCACGTGCCTCCCACAATAAGGTGTCTTCCTCCCTCGGTCGACATGCGAGCGCCAGCGCGAGCGAGACAGATCTGCTCTTGAAGCAAGAGAAGCTCCGCAGAATGACCATGCCACAGTTAGCACAGACCCGGCCTGAGCTGTACCGCGTCCGATCCCGACCTTCCTTGGATAGTGGGAGACACGATCATCCCCTTCCCCGGCCCAATCACCGTCTATCCCTGAGCCAGGCCCAAGCCGCACAGGCGGCAATAATTGCTAGGGTGTCCCCGACGCCTGGCACGAGTCATAAGCAGAACCTCGATTTTTTGTCTCTAGCCTCGGGAGCTTCGAATAATCAGCAGCCTTCGTCGCCCGTTCAGAGCCGTGGACAACAGCAGAGCGTTCCTCAGAGACAGCAGCAGGGTCCCCCCCAGGGGCAGCAGAATCAATTCTACCCTCAGCGTTCACAGAAGGCCTCGAGCGTCTCGACGGCTGAATGGGAAGCGCTACTGGGCTCGCTGGACAATGGACAGCTCAATCTCTATGACGCTATATACGGAGGACCCAAGATCTCGCTGACAGAGGCGCCTGCCCCAACCTCGAACTGGTCTTCAGACCCCTGGGACCTCTCGAACTTCAACATGGGAGACTTTGAAACCACTGGTGCCTCGGCACAGAGTGTCCTGAGCCTTAGCGACGAGAGCTTAAGTTCTGGAGGAGAAGATCTGGCGTCGAGCGACATGGGCTTGAGCGTCGGCAGTCTCGAGTACGCGAACTCTCTACTGCCTGGAACGACCGCTGGTGCGACTTCGGATGGCTTTTCCCTTGATGGTTTGGACGACAACTTCGGGTTATGATGGCATCACTGATTTGTTCCGATATCCTGGGCGGCGCTCATTGAGCGATCTACTGGTATAATTTATGTGACTTGGGATTATTTATGGAATGGCCTCTGGCGTACTTTCCAGATGATATCTGAAGTGGAGAATTTAGGGGGCGGATATGATGTGAATTTTTGAGTCACGTTCTACTTGGCTTGGGTCTGTCTTACAGGGTGGCGAACGGCTGAGGGGATTCTCGGCTGCTGGAGCAGAAAATGATGTTGCTACGACGGTCTATCTTCTTGGGACAAGTATGTCCCATCTGTCTTTACCAGACTACCTTGTTTTGTATCTATGAATGGGCTGGTAGGCTCCGTTTTCGGGATACCGGAGCTTACGGGAGATCTCGGGTGAGGGCCTGAGATCTACTGGCGTGTTAGGGGATTAGCAGACATGGAAATCGAAAAAAGGATTCCAAAGGCTGTATCGAAGCCATTGCTCAAGTCCCATTTCTAGCTTCTGCCTCTTATAACTCGCAGGGATTCCTTGTCATGAGCAAACTCCACAACCTAGATTACGGGATACCCAGTTGGTTAGTTTGCTTCACAGTGCATTGTCCCAATTAGGACGGGAACGTGGACTAAGCCGTTGGGTACCTGTAGATGACTGTTACAACCTAAGAAACAGGCGTCTAGGACTTCATGGAATATGAAATATAAATTCTGCTCAAAGAAGGCCCCCTGTCGTCTTCGACTTTAGCCTGAATCAGAACTCAGATCGCCGTGCCCGCCGATCAAATCTACATTTCGTCCCGCGTTTCTCGGCTCGTTGCGACGGCTAATTACAAGGATAGATACGTAGGTGCAAAGTACTATATTTTCGGATGGCCCCAGAGGCTCAATCAAATTCCCGTCTTAACTAAGGAGGGCGCAATAAGCACGAGACGGGACAGTCCTGAGTCCCGCCACGTGGTTGGGGTCATGGAGGTCAATTTCCCCAAGGTGAGGGACGGCTCACCGAGAGGTGAGGTTTTCCTAGGTACTTTTAATGCTCAGGGACGCGCGCTAAGCATCCCCGCCGCCTCCAGGGAGCGGCCCCACCACCAGCACCCGGAACCTCGAACGCCCGGCCGCGAGAGCCGCCTCAGCCTGTTGGCGCGCGGCTGGTCTCACCTCCTTCGATCCCCCTCTGAACCACCCCTCCCCTCAATTTCACGTTCACACCGCAGTGGTTGTTGTTTGAGACGAGCACATCCTTTTGTTGCCGAATTTCTCCGCTTTTACCTGCCCCAGCGGACTTTCGGGGGTGGGGAATGGTTTGAAGCAACCTACACCTGGCACTTTCCCAAAACAAAAGCTGCCAAGCGACGAGCGGGCCGGGGGGGGGCCAGGATTCCGCCCGCTTCAAACGTGGTGGGCCCCCAATCTGTCCGCCTCCGCCAGACGCCGACGTCCGCCCGCAGCAGCAGCAGCTCCGTCCCTAGCGCGGGTTAGCATGGCTGCGGAGCAAGCCCCGCTGCTCGAAGGGATGGTCGGGATTCCGCCGGGTTAGTGGTTTCCCCCCTCTTGTTGATCACTTCGCCCTCGCTTGACTCTCGGGAGTATATGTATTTCCAACCCCTTTCCGTCCTCGAACGGGGGTTGAGCTGCGAGCTGGCGCCAAAAGATGGAATAACCCCCCTTCACCATCCTCCACCCCCTGCCATTCGGTTCCTTTCTCCTTCTCCCCCCCCCCCCCCCTCCTTTTCGTTCTGCAAACCCCCCTCCGCAGCCCCATACCGTCGCCGCTGACGCCGCAAGCAAAAAAAACAGCGCCGTTCGCCAGCGCCCTGTCACCAGGGGAGCCCTCGGGCCAGCGGCTGCCGCAGGCCATCGCCCACCGCGGCTACAAGGCCGCGTACCCGGAGAACTCCATGGGCGCCTTCCGCGGCGCCGTCGCCGTCGGCTCCCGCGCCGTCGAGACGGATCTGCATCTGTCCAAGGATGGCGTCGTCGTGCTCTCCCATGTGGGTCCACCTGCTTCCGCCCCTCCCCCAACCAAAGCAAGAGATGCCCGTTTCACCACCTAGAGCAGGTGATCTGGGGTTGATCTGCCACTGAGTGAGGGATGGGGCTCGGTGTGCCGTGGTTCGGTGGGCTGACATCTGTCCGTGACCGAAAACACAGGACGCCACGCTGGAACGGTGTTTCGGCCGGAAGGAGAAGATCGCGGCCTGCGACTGGAGCTACCTGCGCGGTCTGCGGACGACGAGGGCGCCGCACGAGGCGATGCCGAGGCTGGTGGATCTGCTCGCGTATCTGGCGCAGCCGGGGCTCGAGGACATCTGGGTCCTACTGGACGTCAAGGTTAGTGGGCGCGGGCGGCGCGGCGCTTCATGAGAGGTTGGTTGAGATGGCTTACAAGTGGATTCGAATAGAGAGATGACGACCCCGACGAGATTATGGGTAGGACGGCTGCCGCCATCGCGTCTGTCCCGGCGTCTAGGCCGTGGAGGGACAGGATCGTTGTGGGGTGCTGGAATGTAAGTGGCAAGACGGTATTCCCCAATTGGCGTCTGCTACACCTTCAGATCGTTTTTGTTTTACTCACCACGGTTCTTTTATTCCCCCTCGACGCAGGCACCATACATCGAACTCTGCAAAGAATACCTCCCCGGCTTCCCTGTAGCCTTCATCGGCTGGTCGCTACTGTACGCATCCAAGTTCCTCCGCGAGCCCAACGTCAACTTCAACCTCATCCAGCAGGCGCTCGCGGGCCCGTGCGGCACGCGCTTCATGGCGGCGGCCCACCGGGCCGGGCGCAGCGTCTTCGCGTGGACGGTCAACGAGGAGGAGTGGATGGAGTGGTGCATCCGCAAGGGGGTCGACGGCGTCATCACCGACGACCCGAAGCTCTTCCTAGAGGTGTGCGAGCGCTGGTGCGGTGAGGCCGGCAAGGCGGCCGGCGACGACCGCCGGGGTGGGGCGCGGCCGAGCGCGCTGAGGCGAGTCAGGCAGTTCACCGCCGTGGTCATCGTGCAGCTGTTGGCTACGCTGATGACGGGGTTGCTGTTCTATAAGAGCGGGGTGATGGAGCGGAAGCGGCGGCGGAAGATGCGCTCGTAGAAGATAGAAGGTAGGGATGCTTACTCTTGTGCACGCTTTTCCCTTTTTTCGTTGTTGGTGGGGTGGCACTTCCTTAAATGTTTGACGGGGATAGACGATACGATCATGCTTATGACTGGGACTGGGTTTTTTCTCTTTGACTTGGGACTTAATGGGGCGGATGGCACTCGCGTAATGATGGTACGGGATTTTTATGCCGAGGTTCAGACGAAGTCAGGCGAGCTTGCCAAATATCTCACACAGATCTGTTGGTCTAGTTGGCAGAGCTCGTATATCACCTTAATCCCGTCCTGATGCCTCAAAGCAAAGATATCATATTTCCATATATTTGCCCTTCATATCGTGGCGATCGATTCGAAGCATACTTCCGAAGAGTTACTTACCTTTGGTCCCGGTTTAGATGCTTGCAGGAAAGCAAGTCGAATAGAAGGATACCCTTAAGAGAGACTAGGCTGCCTGAGTGTCCTGCTGGGTCAGAAATAGATCAAGTCTGTTTTGTTATCAACTCACTCTCACCAGTCACAACCGTCTCACAACTTATCTCTGCTGGGACGGAAAGGTTTTGCTTGTCATTTTTTCTTTGAGACAAGACAATCCTATACTTGTCACATCTTGAATTGAATATTCTGGTGAGTTCTTCTCTAGACATAGAGGCTTTCAGGCGGAAACACAAGACATTATCCTCAGTCAGACTAAGAGATATCTGATGATATTGAGGGATTGTATCCTGTCAGGGGGACACAACTTTCAGGTAAACAGATACTGAGAAAATAGGCACATTTCTATGAGACAACCCTCAGTCTGTATATTTTGTTTTGTGACTAGTATAAATAACTGCAACTCTCCTATCTAACTACTTAGGCTTCTGGGCAAAACGATTGATTAGGATCTAACCTTTGACCGCGTCAAACAGAGATTTTAAGTGTGGATGGAAATAGTGAGGCGAAGCACTGGCGAAAGTGGCTCTCTAAAGGAACGAATGCTTTTCTATAATCTTATCCTAACGAGAATTTTGTCAGATACCAAGAGGTGAGAGCGCATTGAGAGAATCATAAGCGCAAGGTTGGTGTGTGATAGCCTAGCTGTTCAAGCTAGATGATCCTGTTAGAACTAGTAAAATTAGGTCAAATTAATAGCAAAGAAGTAGCCAACAGCTGGCAGTATAAGTAGTAACTGTGGGTTAGGTAGTTAAAGGCCTTGTTTGACTGCCGAAATTGGTAATGCTTTGATGAGATTATCTTGAAGTTTTGGTGTTCGACAGGGTTGTTGGTGAGCCAAATTAGCACCCCTGCTTGTTCTCTAGATTAGGTTTAGCTCCCGCTGCATATGCAATGGGACCCAGCAGCTTGGAGCCGGGACGAACGCGCCCCTGAAATGAACTTCCAGCACCTCTGCTATTCTCCAAAACCTCGATATCCTAGGATACTTGTCAAGTTTGGCGCTTTGAGCTTTTCTTGTATGTTCCAGAGATTCCGGAAGAGAACTCCTCATCTTGTCTCATTTAATCCTTGCCTGCCTCCCCCTGGAATCATGCGAACGTCGCGTGTCTCTCAGGAGACCTCGCGATTCTTCAGCGGGACTTCAGAACCAACGATCACCTCTCGCCGCTCCACCCGCTCCACCCGCTCCAACCTCGACCGCTTCGCATACGACACACCCTCCACGCCAAAGGATGACACGTCCGAGGTGACCTACGGCTCCGACATCGAGGACGCGATCAAGTCCACAAGCCCGCCACCGCCGCCCCATGGCGCAACCCGACAAGCCACCCGCAAGCGCAAGCGCACCACGACCGTCACAGCGCCGGGACGTGTCCCACGGACAATCAAAACCGAGGTAGAGGCCGAAACCACCACAGCCGCGGCCGTGGCCGCCCCGGCCCCGCGACGCGTCCGCAAACCAGCGCGCAAGACGACCGACCCTCTGACAGGCACGACGACAGTCTCCCCGCCGGCGGACTGGGAGGAGGTGTACGCGGTGGCCAAGCAGATGCGGCTGACGGGCGCCGCGGCCAACGCGGCGGTCGACACGATGGGGTGCGAGCGGCTCGCGGGGCCCGGGGCGAGCGCGCGGGACCGGCGGTTCCACACGCTCGTGGCGCTGATGCTGTCGAGCCAGACCAAGGACACGGTCAACGCCGAGGCGATGCGGCGCCTGCAGGCCGAGATGCCGGCCTGTGCGCCGGGGGAGCCGGCCGGGCTGAACTTGGAGAATATGCTTGCCGTTGACCCGGTGGTGCTGAATGAGATGATTGGGAAGGTTGGGTTTCATAATAACAAGACGAAGTGAGTGAGGGAAAGCAAGATGTTTTGTCTGGTTATGATTTCCAGAAAACTCCCCTCTCTGCAGAGCTTGACGCTGACAATCTCTCCCTACAATCCAGATACCTCAAGCAAGCAGCCGAGATCCTCCGCGACCGCCACGACTCGGACATCCCGGACACAATCCCGGGCCTGATGTCCCTCCCCGGCGTGGGGCCCAAGATGGCCCACCTGTGCATGTCGGCCGACGCCGGCTGGGGCCGGGTCGAGGGCGTGGGCGTCGACGTGCACGTGCACCGCATCACCAACCTGTGGGGGTGGCAGTCGCCGCCGACGCGCGACCCGGAGCGCACCCGCCTCGCCCTGCAGGCCTGGCTGCCCCGCGACCGCTGGAAGGAGATCAACTGGCTGCTCGTCGGCCTCGGCCAGACCGTCTGCCTGCCCGTCGGCCGCAAGTGCGGGGACTGCGAGCTCGGGCTGCGCGGGCTGTGCCGGGCTGCTGACAGGGGGAAGGTCGCTGAGGGGAGGAGGAGGAGGGCGCATGTCAAGGTGGAGGGCAAGGTTGAGGGCAAGGTTGTCAAGGTTGAGGAGGAGGTGGAGGTGGAGGAAAAGGTTATCAAAGAGGAGGTCATTAATAAGGAGGTTCCGGGTGGAAGGAGCCCCATAAAGGAGGAGGAATCCGACGCAGCGTGAAGTTGGGGGAGGCTTGAATAATAGGGTGTACTATCTGGGAATGAGCCCAACGAGGCTTCACTGTACGATGCCCGAATTACGGGACTGGCTTGAACGGTTATGCGGACCACTTGCGCGTGTATACGGCGCATATGCCATGTTTCGTCTGCTCGAATTTCCAACCATGTCGAGACTCTCTACAACAGGCGGGTTTCGGACAAGATGTCAGGGCACAAATTTGGGTCATCAACTCCCATGCATGTGGGCCAGAGCACCACTGCATGTGAGATATGTTCATAATATAGATGGTTTCATGTTTTGCCCATCTGAGCTTCTTCTAAAATCTCCCAGTCTCCCAGCTGAGAAGCTCCAAAAGGGGGGAAACAGCAACGGCCGTGCTATATGAACCGTCTTATGCCAAGGCCGTTAAAACCCCTTGACGCCATGCAGCTATAATACAGTCGGGGGTTTCCCGCATGCTCCAGCAGTACGAGAACCCCTCTTTATGTCGGGAAATGAATATTCAGGTGTGGTTGGGTGAGAAGGCGTCGTGGCTCTCGCGAATGTAACGTGTTTGGGAGTGTCCGAGCCGGTGATCGCTGGCCTCATCGGTTTGTCATCCCCACAGAGGGTGACCAATCCAGGCTCTGGATATTCGCCGTATCCATCGAGTTTCGGCTCCGAAAGGGGTCCTAAACACCCTGGTCCTAAACACCCTTGATGACCTGGGTCCTCTCCGAGTTCAGTTGCGCCGCGTTCGCCTCATGCGCTTCCTTCTTGCACTGTGGTTATCCAAGAGTCAGCAACCGCCATTCAGTTCAAACCGAGCCCTGTTGCGAAAGGGGCAAGGGGGGAAACCCACGTCTTCCAAGCCCTCGCACTTGTGATCCTCTAGTAACCGGTGCTTGCCGCAGTAGTGTCCGTTGCAGAAACCGCAGTCGCCAACTATCCTTTGCGCCGCGTCCCGGCACTCCTTGAAGGAGCATCTAATCTTCTTGGGAGGCATTTCTGGAAGGTGCTTGTTCTGTCGACGAGAGGGAACTGAGAGATGGCGGTAGAGATGTAGATGCGAGGTGAGGAGATGTGAAGGCTCGAGGAGTGATGCTGTGCAGGCGTCTGGTTCCTGGAAGACAGAACAATATGAATAGGAGTTGGCTGGAGGTGGTTGGGTCAGCGCAAGTTTCAGGATTGGAAGGAATTGATGAGATGTGAATGAGTTCGAACGTCGGGTATTGTCGAGAACAAGTCAGGTTAGGTACTCACGTGGAAGGGTTAACTAGGACGCCACTTGTTATGTTCGGGCCACCAGGTCAGGTCTGTTGGGCAAGAATCTGGTGGAAGGTAGGGTCCGGGGAGGAGGCAAGAGTGTCGTGGCTACTGTGTAGTGGCCCAGAGTAGACGAGATTGGGGATGACTCGATGAGGCGAAATGAGCCTGATGATGACTGATCAGCGCACTGCCTGGACCCGGAGGTCTTCGTCGAAGGCCGTCGAAGGCAACTAGGCCGATGACGAGGCTCCGCTTTCGGGAGGCGATCGAACCAACCAACCGGGGATGGCGAGGCGATGCCGCGATGGGGCTTGATGGGGCAACTCGGTAGGTAACGTGACGAGGTACGGGATCGGGGGTGATTGGAGCAAGTCTCGAGTTCTCAGCCGGTAGACTGTCGGAAATAGAGTCAGGTCAGCGCCGGGGGTGCTGAGATTCACTGATCTTGGCGATAATCGAGGGTGAGGGTGGCAGTTGTGCGAAAAGGGAGGGCAGCAGGAAGGGTGGTCATGGACCTGGTTTGGGGCGTTACTCTTGCACTTATAAGCTCAAGAGCGACAAGAGAGAGGCTGCTGGCGCAAGGGACGTGTGGTCGGTCCACTTGCACTTGCTCCAATTTGGCGCACCCGGTTATCCGTAGTGTAATTACATCGTAGGTACAGCAGGGAATGAGAACAGGGAGGAGGGAGCCTGAGCACAGTTGGCGCTGCAGGGTCTAGCCGGGAGCTCAATCCCGTTTTCGGTTACGCTTCCCTTGGTCTCCTTGTTTTCCCTCCAAGGAGTTGCTTTTCACAATGTCGGCACAACACATCATCACATTTTGTTGTGACGTTGTTCCTTTACTGTCCCTAGCTTGGGTTTGAATGCAGCACATGCAGCTGTACGCATAGTCAGCCCAAACTCTCGTGTGGTACAGAGCATCAGTTATCGCATCGCATCGCATGCCATCTGCCTGACCCGGCTGACAGATTGCCTTACATTGGCTAGTCGCATCGCACCGCCCTTTGTTCTTCTCCAACCATAACCATGCCTTTCGCTTGACTTTTACGGTCTTGCCGTCTGGCGGTCTCCACAGCCGTGACCCCGGGCGATCGCAAACAGTAAATAAACGATTGGATGGGAGGAGCAAGTCGCCAGCTCACCACTGGAAGGGAAGATCAGAACCGGCTTTTTTCCATTGGGCACGAGACTCCGGAGTTGCGACAAACCGCAGCCTGGGCCGCCAACGCATACCTCAGAGAAAGATGGCGGCACCTTGCCGCCGCCACTTTCATGATCTTCCCGGCTTGCATGATCTACTCAGTACTCAGCCGTCTGTCGGAAATGCATCAAGAAAGCAGCCAGCCGACAGATACCAAAGTGACAGTCCGGAGGACTCTACACCGAGCTTAGACAGCCATTGCTGTCAGCTAAGTACCTACCTAGGTTTGTATAAGCCATTTCCCGTGCCTCTTCCTCTCCTCTCTCATGCAGTACATACCTACCCAAATAGTCCCGGATTCTTGCACGGTCAGTTGATCAGCACGTTTTCACACGTGGGAAAGAAAGTACCACAAATCCATTATATTATGGTATGGAATTCTTCCGATGCAGGCGCGCGGAACAGCGACTTCTTCCTGGAGATCTAGACCGCCGGCGCGAGACCAGCCTAAGACTGGTCTTCACAAAGTTGCATCACATGCTCTTGACGATAGCCTGAAAGCCAAATAACGGGACCCGTGGGCTTACCTACTCAGTGCTACTATAGCAGATTAGGTAGGTGGGTGGGTGGCTAGGTAGCGCTGGCACACGGGGTCATGAGGCGATGAAGATTCCGTCAAGATTCCGTCAGATAAGAGATAACTTGGTCTTTGCGCTTTCCCCAGAGAGAATTGGTTGCAGTAGCGTCAGCTGGCACCATCCTCGCATCCTTGGTTTGGCTTGGCTACCTTAGGTTGGTCAGGGGCTGAGGCAACCCTACTCAGCTTTGCAAAGCAATTGATGAGAGAGGTTTGAGACAAGACTCAAAAGATGTTCCACCATAGGTTCTTTTTTTGCAATTCACCCCCCACGCCTACACGCCATGTCTCTCTTCTCACTACGCCGGCAGACTGCAAAACAACACGCTCCGCTCACTCAAGACTTATTTTTGGCCCATACAACTCTATTTTTAGGTAAAAATTACACTTTTTTCAGCTTGATCAGTAGAGCCCCCCATATTTAGCTCTTGGTATCCCTCATGTTGACCACGGCCCGGATGCAGTCGCCCTGCTTCATGACCTCGAAGGCGTTGTTGATCTCGCCCAATGTCTTGCGGTGGGTGATGAACTCGTCGACCTTGAGCTTGCCGTCGAGGTAGTCCTGGACAAGGCCGGGGAGCTGGGTGCGGCCCTTGATGCCGCCGAAGGCACAGCCCTTCCAGACACGGCCCGTCACCAGCTGGAACGCTGTTCCGAGATTAACATTAGCTATCCGTCCGAACACATAACAATTTACAGTTTCGTCCTGGCCCGGGCGGCCGGGAAAACGGGCGGCCGGGAAAAAACTTTTGGGGGGTGGCGGGAAAGGGGGGATTGAAAACTCACGTCTCGTCGCGATCTCCTGTCCGGCGGCGGCGACGCCAATGATGATGCTCTCGCCCCAGCCCTTGTGGCAGGCCTCGAGGGCGGCGCGCATGACGCCGACGTTACCGGTGCAGTCGAAGGTGTAGTCGCAGCCGCCGTCGGTCATCTCGACGAGCTTGTCGACGACGGACTGGCCCTGGGGCAGCTTGGTGGGGTTGACGAAGTCGGTGGCGCCGAACTTGGTGGACCAGGCCTCCTTGTCGGGGTTCACGTCGACGACGATGATTTTGGCGGCACCCTGCTCGACGGCGCCCTGGACGACGCTCAGGCCGACGCAGCCCGCGCCGAAGATGGCGACGTTGCTGCCCTTCTCAACCTTGGCGGTCACGCGGGCGGCGCCGTAGCCGGTGGTGATGCCGCAGCCCAGCAGGCAGGTGCGGTCCATGGGCGCATCCTGCTGCACGGCCACCACGCTGATGTCGGCCACCACGGTGTACTGGCTGAAGGTCGAAGTGCCCATGAAGTGCAGGAGGTCCTTGCCCTTGCACTTGAACCGCGACGTGCCGTCGGGCATCAGGCCCTTGCCCTGGGTAGCCCGGATCTTGCCGCAGAGGTTGGTCTTGCCAGATTTGCAGAACTTGCACTCCTTGCATTCTGGCGTGCTGTTGTAGGGGGACGAGATTCATTAGCATTGGTGACGTCAGACCCTGCTTCTCCGGCTGGGTAGTGAGATTTGGGTGCGGGGGAGCGCGGGGAGCCGTACTAGAGAGCGACAACATGGTCGCCAGGCTTCACATTGGTGACACCCTCACCAACCGACTCGACGATACCGGCGCCCTCGTGTCCTAGGACGATGGGGAAGGCTCCCTCGGGATCCTTGCCGGAGAGTGTGTAGGCATCTATCCACCACGGTTCAGTCACCACATCTAGGGAAATTTTGGGGGACTAGGTCGGATTTTTGAACCTCACCTGTGTGGCAGACACCAGTGTAGTAGATCTCAATTCGGACCTCGTGGGCCTTTGGGGGAGCGACCTCGATGTCTTCGAGGCTGAGCTCCTTGCCAGCTTCCCAGGCGACAGCTGCCTTGCAAGTGATGGTCTGTCATGATTGGGAAAAATCGCATGTTAGCAGAGCCATGCGGAACGCGGATCTCTCAACGTATCATATCATCTTCCTCTCACCTTTCCAACAGTTGACGCCATCTTGTCTCACGTATTAGTTCACGACGGACCAGACAGTAAATGAAGTTTGGAAAATTGGCGATTTCAGTTGTCTCCGAAAATAAAAGTTGTTGCCTTTTCCAGATGTGTTCATTCCAAGCGGAAACAAACAAAAGTTGGGGCTTCGTGAGCTGTCGACCCCTCCCTTTAGTAACCCCACCTCCCAAGAAAAAGCCGAAGTCAACAGTGAAGTGGGGTTGCGAAGGCGATGCGGAGTGGTGCAAAGCATCGGCAAATCCGTGTAATCGCGTCTTGGTGATGTCAAGTGGCCTGTGCCAACGGCTACTCGGTGATTTCCCGGCATCTTGCTTGGGGTTCGGCAGTTCTAATGGTTTCCCGTCGAATCGATTTTACGGATCCGTACATTTTTACCTAACTCCGTGCTGATAAACTAGATGGAAGACATATCATAACCGATAACGACTCTTGGGACTTGGCCTGCCGAGAATAACGTGATCATGCCGGACTTTTCCGTCGTTGTTCCCCCGATCCGATGCATTGGTTAGAGTGCACGGACCAAACAGCTCGCCCTTGCTGTTAGCTGTTAGTTGGTAGTTGTTAGTGCTGTTTGACAACCTGCAGTGGTCCAGACTCCAGACTCCAGACTCCAGAACTCATCCAGGAGTTCAGGGTCTTCTTGGCCGAGACCGCCACGTTCATCGGAACTTCGTCGACCGACGCAAGTTCAGAAGCGAAGCTGAAGGAAATTCGAGGAGTGCTTCAGGTCTAAACCTCCGAGGGGCTGGGGTGGGTTGCAAATCGCATTCGGCGCTCAGCTCGATATGACTCCTAGCCCCAACACGTCGCGGGGCAAGAGGCGAGCTGCAAGCCGCGAAACGCACATTGACACACTAGACAAAGAGCCCCGATCGCCATAGGATCCTCAAGATGTGTATATCCTCCAATTCCAGGTCCCAGGATTTGCGAGGACAGCCCGGCTTTCTAGGAAGGCTTTCTAGTAAGCCAGGGCACGCAAGCCTTGTGGTTAGCGCTCAAGGGAGACGATGAAACTTGGATGCGGCTGCTCACGTCTGATCTCCAATAAGCCAACCAGACATCCACGAGAGGTTATCCAACCCAATGGGTCCACCCGTCCCATCTCAGGTGGTTCGCCTGATCCTCATTTCCTGTGCGACCCTGGATGGTCGCTTATCTGGCTCTGATCGAAACATGCGAGGCTTGAGTCTCGCAGGACTGGGTAACGGGAACGCATGAGAATATCATCGTCACTTATGTATATAAGGGTGAGCCCGCTTCCACAATAGCCTCCAGCTCTCTCCTACACCATCACCAGTCGTTCATTCAGTCAGACAGTCAGTCAGTCCTTTTTGCCTTCGTGCTTGTCACTCTTTACCCAGGTTCTTGAACCTCTTCCATTCTTTCGCTCCTTAGCATCCATCTGTTCTGTGACCCGGGCCGGTCCTTTTTACAAGTATCTTCGATTCTCTTGCCGCTGGCTTCCACTGGATAACCCATCAAAATGAAGTATCAAACCGTTGCTCTTCTGGCTTCCCTCCTCTCCCTGGGCGTTGCCGCCCCGGTCGCCGAATGCGTTGCGAAGACCACCAGCTCTTGCACCGTTATCACTACAACGATTACAACAACGTTCTCTCCGTCCGCGTGTGTCGCTGCACCGACCGCCGCAGCTGAAGCCAATAATGCTATTCTTACTGCCGCCGTTATTACGGGTAAGTCTATTTCCCTCTGACGGGGTTTTACTGTCAAAGAGACTAACGGCACCGTCCAGAAGTGAACGTCCAGGTTTTCACCGGCACGCTCGGCGGCCCCCCGCCCCCGGTCATCAGCGGCACTGGCACTCGCCCGTTTACCGTCAACGGAGCCACCTTCGTCGGCCAGGCCGCGGCGCTCGGGCGCAGTTGCGATGTGCAGCACAACGCGTGCGCCAACGCCGCCAACTCGGGCCAGCTGTCGGGCGGAGTGGCCGCATGCGACCAGCAGAACAATGAGTGCCGCAGCCAGATCAGCTCGGTCGCCTCCAAGCGCGCCCTCAACCTCGGCAGCTGCAGCGACACGACCATCGTCTTCCAGGTGGGCCTCGATGGCCGCAGCGGCGCCGCTTTCATCGCCTCGAACCAGCGCGACTTCAACCACGGCTCGGCCCTCAAGATCGGCGTCATCGCCGACTTCATCTGCCAGCGCCTCGCCTCCTCGTGCAGGGCTCCCGCCGACGCCATCGCCGCCTGCGCCGCCGCCAGCGCCGCGGCCGTGGCGGCGACCCAGGACCAGGCCGCAGCCGACGCCTTCAACAGCGTCATGGGCGGCACCGGGGCCGTCGCGGCGCCTGCCACCACTGCTGCTGCCACCCAGGCCGTGGCCGCTGTGCAGACCGGGATTGTCGTCCAGACTATCACGTCTTGCACGTAATGCGGATATTTCATGGTTGGGCTCGGCGCTATTCCTGGGGGTATCATGGATGTCTTATATATAACGCCTGGCGGAGACGAACCAACCAGCCCGTGTCTAGATCAGAACACTGGTTGAATGAATGAATGACTGTCCTGATCTTACCCAGCTTGCCTATGACGTGGGGATAGTGAATATCGTGCTCTTTCTCGTCATGTACTGCCTCGAAATTGTGATTCCTAACGCCCTATTTCACGAATACAGGTTCAATTCCCAGCCGTAACATGTACGTTGCACTGGGCCTCGGTTTCTCTCGTTGTGGCGGTTTTACTTCCTTGCGGGCATCTAGGGGCATACTTTCGGCCCCTTTTCTCCTTCTCTTCTCGGTGGTCGCTCCGAGCAGTCCATGTCTGGATCATGACGACCCTGTTTGGGGGTTGGGGGCAAAGGGGGACATCACATCTTGACTCTCATCAACTGTCCCTTAAACTGGAAATGATTATCTATATCAAACATATCCTACCGATCCCCATCTCAAAAGTTATAACATAAACGCCCCCCTTTCCATCCCTTATCATTTCTCCCTCCCTCTCCTATATTACCTCGCAGCAGCATCCTTAGGCGGACCCTTTAGTCCATCCTTGCCCTGCCTCCCGACGCCGCTGAGGTCCGCGGCCCCGGAGCCCCTGTCGGCACCGCCGTCGGCCGTCGAGACCCGACCGGACCCGACGTTGACGTTGCGCGCGTCCGCTGACTGCCAGTCTGACGCCGTCGGCGGCTGGTCGGGCAGTGGGAGGTTCTGCCTTGTCTGCTCGGCTTGGTCGGCTTTGGATTGCGACATTTTGGCTTGGTTTGGTGGGGGTTCTTCTGAGCGGGAGGTTAGATGGAAGGCTGGGTTGAAGTGCTGGGTTAGGTTAGGGGGGCTTACTGATGAGGACGATGGGTTGGTTGTAACTTTAGACGGGTGGAAAATGTTTCGGTTACTTGGGATTGGAGAGATGAATGATTTCAACTTGATAGATCTGTGAAAGAGTTCAGGAACTTGGGGCTGTTCGATTCTGAAGTCATCCTATATAGGTTGCTGAGTTCTTTCATGATGTCATTCCCGTGAAGTGCGTGCTCCAGCAGATGTATGTACGATCCACAAGAGTCAGTTGTATGATGAGGAAGAGGCTACATTCCCTGCTTGGTTACTTATGTTCCAGTGCTTTCCATATTCCCACGGTGTAGGCCTAGTCGCTGTCGCCATCGGGATCCAGAGGCCCTCACCTCTCACATATGGGTCCAAACACCCAATCTTGGTAGTTTGTTTGGCGCGTGGGTGGAGTAAACAGCTTCTAGCGCCATAGCTGGCATCATAGCTGACATCTTCACGCTGATCATATTGCTGGAGCCACTCCAAATAGCAAGGTGCAGAGTTGGACCGTCAGGGTCAGGGTTAGGGTCATGTGTGACAGCATAAAGATGAGCTTCTGGAAGCATGGAAGAGCCCGAGGTCGCCCGAGACCCTGGCTGCTCAGAATTTTAGCGCCTCACAAGCCACATAAGGCTTGGAAAATCCTTGTGATCATCCCCTATCAATTAAACCATCAAATTCAAGCATCCCAACAATTTTGCGAGTATTGGCGAATCGTTCCCACGCTCGTCCCCACGCTCCCCGGAGCATATGTACCTCTTTGCCCTTGTTGCCAAAAGGGCATAGCATGTGCAAACCTAATTTCTCCTGCCAATGACCTTCCACAATGGGGGGCGTTACCTTTGCAGCTGCTAGACTTTGCATCAGGCGCCTCAACATCGGCTGGACATGCGCTAGGTGTCGCAACCAGGCCTCCCGACCCGATCTGCCGTCCTTCCCCTTATCGCGACGATTCGGCACGTCAAGACCTACGTCTACAAAGTTCAATGCCCGGCCCACGCGCAGACGAGCTGTGATCCTGGCCGCGACGGGCACCGGAGTTGCAACCAGCATCCTTGCGAGCGTCTTGGCCTTCCCAGATGACATCAAGCATGGCTACGAGGGGGCCGAGCGCACGGGAAGGGTTGCCTCGGCCCTGGCCATATGTATTAACGAGTAAGACCTGCTGCGTCGGGCTCCCTGGCTGACTTGGGTGCGCTTTTCTGACGCGCGCGCGCTACAGCTACCGAACGACGCTCAATCAACGAGACGCGGTCGAAGATGTGGACGAGCGCGATCGACTGCTGAAGGACTGCCACAAGAGGTGTGCTGTGAGGACACTGAAGGTCCTGGAGAAGAATGGCGGCATCTTCATCAAGCTGGGGCAGCACCTCGTATGGCCTCAACGTGACACCTGGGAACCCCCCAGCAGCTGCTAACACGTATAGTAGAGTGCCATGAACTACCTCCTCCCGTCGGAGTGGACGACGACCTTCATCCCGTTGCAGGACAAATGCCCTGTATCCTCGTTCGAGTCGATCGAGCAGATGTTCAAGGACGATACGGGCGAAGAATTATCCTTCTTCTTCTCGGAATTCTCCAGGGAACCGATCGGAGCAGCCTCCCTGGCCCAGGTCCACCTAGCAGTTGTGAAGGACTCCGGCCAGTTGGTTGCCGTCAAGGTGCAGCATCCCGGGTTGGCGCAATGGGCGCCGCTCGACCTGTCGCTCACAAAGTTCACCTTCTCGTCGCTCAAACGCTTCTTTCCCGAGTACGATCTCGAATGGCTGTCTTCGGAGCTGGAATACTCCCTGCCTCAGGAACTGGATTTTGAGCGCGAGGCTGAGAATGCCATCCGCACCAAGGAATACTTCTCCCATATCCCAGAGCTGCCCCTGGTTATTCCGGACGTGATATGGGCGAGGAAGCGCATTCTCGTCATGGCAAACGAGTCGGGCCACCGCCTGGATGATCTGGACTATCTCGACTCGAACGGCATAGATCGCGACGAAGTATCAGCGACTCTGGCGCGGATATTCAACGAGATGATTTTCGGGGATGGCGCACCGTTGCACTGCGACCCGCATGGAGGGAACATCGCCATTCGGAAAAACGACTCTCGCCGCTACAGCCGGCGGGACGCGAACTTCGACATCATCCTGTACGACCACGGGCTGTACCGCGACATCCCCCTGGACCTCCGGCGCTCGTACGCCAAGATGTGGCTCGCCGTCATCGACGGCGACATCGACCGGATGAAGAAGTACGTCAAGGAGGTCGCGGGCGTCGAGGAGGACAAGTTCGCGCTCTTCGCCTCGGCCATCACGGGGCGCGACTTCAGCGTCGTCAGCTCGTCCATCACGCAGCCCCGGTCGGCGGACGAGAAGGAGACCATGGGCGAGGCCCTGCAGGAGGGCCTGCTCGCCGACCTGGTACAGCTGCTCGGCCAGGTGCCGCGCGTCATCCTCCTCATCCTCAAGACAAACGACCTCACCCGCAGCCTGGACGAGAACCTCCACACCCGCCAGGGCCCCGTGCGCCAGTTCCTGATCCTGGCCAGGTACTGCATGCGGACCGTGTTCTACGAGCAGCTGGAGGAGATCCGCCAGCGGGGCTCGTTCTACTGGCCGCCCAATGCCCTGAGGCTTGCCGTTGCGTGGCTGGGCTATTTCAGGGTCGAGATCAAGCTAGAGGCGTTTGAGTTCTGGCTCAGCATCAAGAGGATGACTGGATTCAACAGGATAGAAATGGCTAGCATATCATAGACAGACTTGCATTGGTGGATAATCTGTAATTCTTTTAGGAAGCACTTGCGACGATCATAGAGTAATCATATCATGTCCATCTCCGTTCTCCCCTGCCAAGAGTGCTGTGTATATGGCAGGCTCGGACTCCTACCTCACGTAGCTCCTAGTCAGGGAAGTGATAGGTATCGAAGCACCTCTGAAAATGAAGCGCGATATGTCTAGAACATATACAGAGATATATATATGCCTTAGTCCCCCCCGCCCTTTTCCCGCTAGTCGTTCGTTCAATCCCGATACTCCTCCCCTGGCTTCACGCCCAGCATGCCATTGTTCATACCGCGCCTCCTCCGGCCCATGACCTCCTTGACCCACTCGCTCAGGTTGAAGCACCAGTGGCCGGCGACCAGGGCGCCGCTGACCACGTTGATGATCTTGATGAGGAACAGGAAGATGGAGTCCCGCCACTCGACGATGTTGAGCAGGATGGGCTCGATGTCGTACTTGAAGAAGATGCCAGGGATGGTCCGCTGGTGGACCGCGCTGCTCTGCTCCGTCACCGCGTATTGGTTGGTGAAGATGGAGGTGGCCCCGCTCTTGGTCGGGTCGCCCACGCTGTACGTGGTCGGGACGACGGACATGAAGTACTGGAACTTGTAGAAGTTCTCTGCCGCGGCATTGACGGTCCTGTCCAGGGGGTTGACGAGGGACGGCAAGAAAGGGCCGAAGGATAGCTCGGAGATGATGTGCGAGAAGTTGAAGGCTGTTCGCGTTGGTCAGTATATTCCCGCGTGAGAACTTCCAAACAAACATGGTCGCTGGTCGGGGAGACTCACCGTTGTGGGCAAGGTGCTCTCCGTGCCCCATATAGCCATGCCCCCTCGCCGTGATATGGAAATCTCCCTGCACCTTGTTCAGGTCCAGACTGCCAAAGATCCTGCAGCTATCCGCGCTACCGCCGCGCAACCTCGGAGTCTTCCCCCACTTCGCCCTCCTCCGGCCCAGCGCGACGATGTCGTGGATGTGCTCCTCGCCGAACCCCTCGTCGTGCGCGGTGGACGCCCACCCCTCGCCGGTGACGAGCCTGCCCTGCTCGTCCCTACCGAGGCGGTGCATGCCCACGCCGTCGACCCACTGCGCCCAGTTGGTCGGGTCCTGGGTCAGCATCTGGGCGGCGAGGATGCGGTCGCCGGCGGCGTCCTGGACGTTGACGTGGAGGTCGGCGCACTGCATGTGCACGACGATGTCGAGGTTGAGCTGCATCTCCCGCCCCACCCCCTTCTCGACCGCGAACGTGTGCATCTCCTCGCCGCGCCACCACCGCGCCAGCTCCGAGAGCACCAGAACCAGCGACACCACCGCCATTATCACCGTCCACTTGCCGCCGCCCGATGTCCGCGTCACGTACTGCGGCTTTGCCTTTGCTGTGGGCGGAGCAGGAGGTTAGCGAATCGACCGGTGCGGGATCGGGATGCCAGGTGGTGGAGGGGGAGTGGGAGCTTACGGAATGCATCGAAGGCGCTGACGATGCTGCTGCCAGACTTGGCACCAAAGGCGTCGTCGTCGAGGTGGTGTTTCTCGTACCCGTTCATCATTGCAACTCTCTTGTCGCTTGGTAGTCCCCAATATCAGACAATCCCTCCCTGCGAGGCCTGTTGAGGGTTTTGGTCGCCGGGTCGTACTCTATTCGCCTCGGTCCACTGCAAGTACCCGGGCAGGAGAACTAGAGCCAACTACCGCATGGGTAGGATCTGCAATTGCGCAAATACGCCGCTGAGCTCGTTGTCTTCGTCGTGGGTGGACACTGTTTTCGTTGATTGAGCTGGATATAAGGCTGGACTGGTCTGCAGCAGTCGATGAAAGGACAGGTTAGCCATAACTTCGTCTTGAGCCAAACCCCTGTTCAGGCACAGATCGTGATTGGTCGATTAGAAAGAGCTGACGGGGCGTGTGCATTAGAGTTTCAGTAGGGTGGAAGTAGTCGGATTGTGGGGTGATGAGTAACCCTAACCCTGGACGAGCGTCAAGTCAAAGATTCAGACTCTAATGATGGGTTCCGCGGATTCCTAGGAATTGACATGTACATACAATTGACCCGCAAATATGACCCTCTCTTGGGAGCGCGCCTTTTCCGTCAGGAGGAGGGTTCATACACGAGCAGCTACATAGTAGGTCCCAGTCTTCAACTTCAATTTCAACCCCACGCCCCAACTCCAATTGTGCCCCACAAGCCATTCCCCGCATCTGGCGTACCAACTCCCAACTCAGGCCTTCTACGAACATAATACTTGCACAGGTTTAGGGTTGAAGTGCATTCAAATGGGATCTTCTCTTCTGGCCTCTCAGGAATATCTTATGTCTTGCCTTTTAAAATGCTCCTCCGGGTGTCAAATCGCAGATTTTTTGATATTTCGACAGACGTCCCCTACAAACTTTCAGGGAACGACTGTGGTGCGCCAGGGGTTCACTATTTTCATGACAACTCCAAAGATAAACCACCCCCCCCCCAACATAGGAACGAGAAAGCGGCAAAAATGGGGCTGTGAGCAAGAAGTGAAGAAGATGCCAGAATGCCCGTCAGTATCGTTCCAGGATCCACTCCCGTCGCTTATCCTCCCCCATATCGCTCAGCATATTCAGCTCGGCCTCCTTCACTGCAGCGTACCGCTCAATGAGCTCGCGGCCCAGATAACCCGTCAACTCCTCGTCGGCCTTCAGCGCTTCCAGCGCCTCCCCCACGCTGCCGGGGAGCAGCTGGGTCACATTGAGCTCCTTCCTGTCGTTGTCTGTCAGGTTAGCGGGGTCTATCTCGCAGTCTCCCCAGATGAGCTTCTCCCTGGCGACGACGCCGCGAGTCCCCGCGGAAAGCACCGCTCCGAGAGCCAGGTACGGATTGGCGAGCCCGTCCAGGGTCTTCAGCTCCCAGTGGCTGCCCTCAATCTTTCTGAGGGCCGTCTCGCGGTTCTGGGTGCCCCAGGCGACCCACCTTCCGCCGGCCCAGCAGCCATCAACGAGCCTCTCGTAGCTTGCCGGGTTGCTATACGTGAAGGCCGTGATCGCTGGCAAGTGCTTCAGTATCCCCGCGTAGAAACTCTCGTAGACCTCCGGTTTTGAGCCCTGGGGCGAGGAGATGGACATGTGGACGTGGGATGCCGTGCCGCAGGCGTTCGCAAATGGCTTAGGATAGAGGGTCATGCGGAAGCCGGCCTCTGTCGCCAATGCCGACATGACCTCCCGCGCGTGAAGGAGGGTATCGACCGCCTCCACAGGCGGCAGATGTGGCAGAATGAGCTCAAACTGTCCGGTTGCGCTCTCGGCATGCAGCTGCTCGACGTGGATGCCCATGACGGCAAGCTCTCCCACCATGTTTCTCAACAGGGCGGAAACCCTTGGGTCGGTAAGGGACCGCGAGGCGGACCAGGCATGTCCGTCTGTAAGTAGAGTGCGATATCGATTCGGCTCCCGTCCGTCTAGGCGTTCAAGTAGAAGGAACTCGATCTCGAAGCCCAGGAGATACGTGAGGCCGTTCTCGGCGCCAAGTTCCACCGCACGTTGGAGGAGTGAGCGAGGGCAGAATGGGATCCTGGAACCGTCCTGTTCACGGAAGTCTCCCTGCATGCTGATATGCCCGTTGAGAGGGCCGAGTCTCAGGGACGAGAAATCGGGGTGGAGCCGGTATTCGCCAGTCGCGACCATGCCTGGGACGGGCCAGTCGTTTTGCAGCAGCCAGAGAGCAGCCTTGGTGATTCCGATATCCGTGGATTTACCTTCGTCTAGCAAAGACATGAACTTCCTCATGGGCACCATCCTCATCCTTGGGCTCGCAGTAAGATCGTTCCAACAGATTCTCACAAAGTCAGGCGTGCTTTGGCCCCGGAGGAAGTTCCGGAGCAAGTCCAGGTCGGTGAGATATCTGTTGACCTCCAAGTTGCCCGAGGGCTCCTCAGCCAGCTCCGCGAAATCCAATTCCAGATGGTACAGCTTGTTTGAGTTCCGAAACAGGATGTCACGGACAAGCTCGATTGCGGCTTTCCAGCCTATCTGCCCTGTACGGACATAATCGCATAAAATCTAAAATAAAGAAACAGATCAGCTTAGTCTAGGCGGCCCCTATGTCCGGCTCGAACCTACAGTTTCCAGCAATTCGCGGACCTGGGCGATAGCCAGCAGGTAAGTCTCAGGGAACCAATGCCCGTCGGTGCTCCATAGCACTTTTGACCACGGGCAGAGCTCGAGGATCTGGCGGACAACGCTCTCCTGGCCATCGAGGCTGACGAATGGGAACACCTCACCGATATCAGCATAGACATTGGCGTAGACACTGGCCAAGTAGCCGGCTTCGCGGGTGAAGGGATAGCTGGCGTGTAGAAGAACGATGGGGACAGTAGGGTATTCCCGGATGAATTCCTGGAGGTGAGACGGCGACGCTCTAGTCAGGGTGATGTCGTTGTCACCAAGACCTGTGTGGAATTGGATTGGTTTCTTCCAGCGCGATGCGCTCTGTTGAATCAGCGTGGCTGCACGGTGGACAAAGAGGTCGTTCAGACCGTCATGCTGGAGTCTCTTGAATGGTCCTGGGCCTTGGAAATCGTTGAAGATGCTGATAAGTGACTCTCGGGCGGTGGAAACGTCGACAGCTCTCGGAATATCAAGCCCTGTGCGGTAGCAGATGACGGACTTGAACGCGACAACATCGGGATGGTCAATGGCTGCTCTGATGTTGTCATCGAATTCGTCGACTACTTGGTCGAAGACATTGTCGACTGCTCGGGTTGATGTGTCGAGCAACAGGAGGTGCCGATTGATGATGCTGGCAGCCACGGCCTCGATGCGGACAATGCGCTTGCAGTTGCTCCGAGTGTAGTCATCATGCCACGAGTACTGATAAACGTCATCCTCGTTGTCGAGTCCATCGTCGATGAGAATGGTCTCAATGCCATCGAGACACTGAGCGTTCCAGTCCTCAGGGGACTCAATACGCCTCTGCTCAATGGCGGCGACGACGGCCTCCCAGGTCAGGTTGCAGCTCAAAAGGGTGCCAAGCTGCTTGACGGCTCGAAGATGAGCCAGACTGGTGAGAGAAGCATCGATAGCGTCGCCAGATGCCTCGGTTGTAATTGATAGAAGCGGGTGCTGGCTGAGAGCTTCAGGCTTGAGGAGAGGATGTGCATGGTTGTCGATGATGGGCGTGCGTCGAATGGCGCGGACGACGCTCTCAAGTTGTGATGGAGTCCCTCCAGATCGACCGCCAACCCAGGATGCCATGACGAATGTGTAATCAGCCTGGCGACTTCACGATAGACTTGAGGTTGCTGGAGCTTTAATCGTCGTTGCCGATATGCGTTAATCACATTCCCCGCCGTAGAGAGAACCAATGAGGTCTGCTGACTCCAAGAAGTAGAACATTACAGCACTACCCTGCGTGTGATCGATGTCGTAAGCTTTGTACGCACGATATCGTCATAAGGCTCCGTTTTAGTATGGACGACTGCATCCCGCCCCAGGTACGTATGTACATGCATATAAACAACCTCCATATTTTGTAAGGCTGCCCAATTGGGTAGGTACCTGGCTAACTTCCCTTATTACCATCCATGGATGTTCCTTCTACGCCTTCTACGGAAGTACGATCCTAGGCACTACAACCATCAGACTGTCAATAATTATCCCTTCTCCCAGTGTGACAGTATGGCTGAACGTACTATTTGTTTTTGGATCAGCTAAACCAGTACACGGGCGTCGATCTCCAGCAGAGGATACATGCCAGGGATAATCTCCTTTCGCACGAACTCGGATCTTGTCTTAGACAACTTAGACAGCATCCACCTCCCAGATGAGAGCTACTGGAAGTTGGTTGTGATGGCCCTGCAGGCCATTGACAAATCAGACGCGGCTAGCTTCATCGCGGTAAGTAACTTCTGCTGGCGTTGACAATGACGGCGCTCCTGGCAAGACACTTATACCCCAAGGTCAACAGTATTATACGCAGATCTGTTGACACCCGAAATGCGTGGTTCTTGGCAGTATACCCGTGGCAGGCGGTGGTTTGCACGATTTTCTCAGTATCTCCTACCATGCATATACCTATGCGACCCTCAACAACGGAGATCGGAGCTCTTCGTGGCTGGGCCGCTTCAAGTCAATTGAGGGCTATACACAGGATGCAGTCCATCTGCTGGACCATAGCCCCGGAAGCCTGGGGACGTCGTTTAAGCCAGGAGCCGAAAGCGCGTCGTCCTCCTTAGACACGAATCCCTTCAGCATGCCGCGAGTCCTTACCCGCCGCCTGAGATCAACTAGGGTTGCTGATTTTTCGTTTCATTTTAGAAACCAGACGAAAAATGGAAAAGAGACAGGAGACACACAAATATGTTTGGATATCAGACATCGGGTCAGCCAAAGGCTTGGTTGCTTGGCGAAACAAGAGTGAGTTATATCTCTTGGCGGCCTGGGTCACGGACCAACCCGGAAAAGCCAAGTCAAGTCAAGCATCACTTGGCTGCCGCCAATTGTCTTGGCCTTAGCGATCGATGCTAGGCATACGGATACCTAGATCTCGAATTGGCGTGGTACGTAGTGACGGAATCCGCCAATCCACAACGAAGTTGCAAATGTACGGATACGAACTGAGCTTCGCAGTCACTTCTCGCACCGTATGCACTGGAATTATCAATTTAGATAGGTACTATATACGATGTATACGTAATCTGTATACAACAGCCTGATCGCCCTAGTTTAATTTCCAAGCTGGTCGCACGTGTGCCCAGCCAAAAACTGACCCTGCCAATCGAAGGCCAAGACATGTCCCGGCGACTTGCGTCCGTATCCACAATAGAATGGCGGAACGAGAAGAGAAGGTACTTCGATCTTGCCGGATTGATGTTATAGCATCTCATACAAATTTGCTAACCGGTACTAATGACCTCCCTCCTTTCTCACGGTACCTCCCACATTCTACCTCAGAGGGCCCCCCTTGTCGCTCAGTCAGTCCCACCTGTCAACACTGCCACCAACAGGTTCAAGTTTCTTTCATCCAACTTTGAGCAACCCCCTTCAACCGGCGTAATCGACCAAACCTCGCGATAACCACACTTTCGCGGCTCCTCTCACTACTTTTCATGGGCACAACATAACTGTTCGCGGTCCAGAGTTTTGCACGTCCCTTTTGCTCTTTTCACCCTAGTCACTCGCTTTAAATCCAACCGCCCAGTCGTCATGAAATCGCCAGTAACTCGTGTAGCAGCCGCTGTCCTGGTCGGCAGTGGGCTTGTAAATGCCGCATACAGCATCGGCAGTGATGGTATGGTTTAACTCCGTTTGCCGATGGAAACCTGTCTCATTCCTACGACAACTCACCCATCGATCACCCCGGCTAACCCGAGACCAACAGCCGAGATCAAACAGACATCGAAGCAGCTCGCGGCCGACCTCATGGCGTATTACCACGGAAACGAGCCAGGACAAACACCAGGAATCTTGCCAGGGCCGCCACCTGCTGGCGACTACTACTGGTGGGAAGCAGGGGCGATGTGGGGTGCCATGATAGATTATTACCACATGACGGGCGACGACACCTACAATGCTCTCACGACGCAAGGAATGCTGTTCCAAGTCGGTCCCAACGACGATTACATGCCGCCAAACGTTACCGCGTCTCTGGGAAACGATGATCAGGGCTTCTGGGGCATGTCTGCTATGCTCGCCGCAGAAAACAACTTCCCCAACCCTCCCGACGACCAACCGCAGTGGCTGGCGTTAGCCCAGGCCGTGTTTAACACCCAGGCGAACCCTGATAGGCACGACGATACTTGCAATGGTGGTCTGCGGTGGCAGATTCCTCTGTCCAACAACGGGTACAATTATAAGAACAGTGAGTTGGCTGCGATATCTGCCCGGAGAAGGCCTGTTGTTGTAGCTGACTCGTGAAAGGCATCGCCAACGGATGTTTCTTCAACCTGGGTGCCAGACTTGCTCGGTATACCGACAACCAGACCTATGCGGACTGGGCTGAGAAGACGTGGGATTGGGTCAGGGGCGTTGGCTTGATGAACGCCGATTACCAGATCTATGACGGCGCCCACGTCGAGCACAACTGCACGGATATCAACAAGGCGCAGTTCTCTTACAACGCTGCCATCTACCTGCTTGGAGCCGCGTACATGTATAATTATGTACGCTCTCGCCCTTCCTCTCCCCTCGGTTACCTTTGCCCTATACGAGCTTTCTCATGACTAACTATCCCCGGACAGACCGACGGCAGTGAGACGTGGAAGGAGAGAGTTACGGGTCTGCTTGACAACACCATCAATACCTTCTTCCCAGACGGCATTGCCTACGAGATCTCCTGCGAGAAGCACATGACTTGCACCACCGATATGCTGAGCTTCAAGGGCTACCTTCATCGCTGGATGTCCACGACGACTCAGATTGCGCCCTTCACCAAGGAGAAGATTTCGACCGTCCTTCAAACGTCGGCAGCGGCAGCTATTTCGCAATGCACCGGCGGAACCACGGGCCGGGTTTGCGGGTTCAAATGGTCCACAAAGACGTATGACGGAACTCAAGGCGCCGGCCAGCAGATGAATGTATTGGGTGCAGTGTCGTCCCTTCTCGTCGGCTCTGCCAGGGCCCCGGTCACGAACTCGACAGGCGGAAGCAGTCGAGGCGATCCAAATGCCGGCAGCCACGGAGATGATTTCAACAAGAAGTCCAGGCCAATCGCAACCGGCGACAGAGCTGGCGCCGGAATTCTCACCTTCATAGTCCTAGGCGCGGCAGTGGGTACGTTTGGCTGGATGAGCACCGGGGTATGACGTGCACCTTGAAGTTCAACTACCCATCATTGGTCTGGATTCCGTTATATATAGAACCGCTGTGGCAAGGACTGCCACAACCAAACCTGCATTATGGTTTTACCATTTCCCTTTTTCTTTGTCGGTCTTCTTTTCCCCCTTTCACCTGGCTCTGTCCTTGCAGGGCAAACTGGCGTTCACGGTGGATGGATGAATACGTGTCTTTGGGGAGGATGATGCTCACCTCGCGGTCAATTGTTTCCATTTCCTGCCAGGGGCAGGGGCAACCTGTTCGCTCTTTTTTTGCCATGTAGCTTATTTCCTCCATTCGCAACATACCAACAGGGGAGCAGAGGAACATACTTTAGTACTAATGTAGAAACGCATTTCTATCTTTCCATGCTCCTTCGTTGGCGTGCGTTTTCTCCCGCGGAGTCAACTGTTTCATCTCACGCTGGTAGGAGCTTCTCTAGTGGAGATGTCGGCTCTAGCTGGCTAGAGCATTGCGTTGCACTGGGCGTTTCAGACGTCCTTTTCCTTTCTCTTCCCATAAACTCCTCCTGTTTACCTGTTTCGAAGGTTGATATTGTCTTAATACGCGACTAGAAAGCATTGATTGGAACTGTAAGGCGATAATAACGCACAGCAGGTTTTATTTCTTGGCCTTCATTCTCGGCAAGGCTCGGATCGCATCTCGTCCAGACTTTGTATCCCACCTTCGGCTGAATTTCCCGGGGATGATCACGAACCGGCCCAACTGATTGGATCCAAAATCACATCTACCCAACCACGACCCGACTTGTTCGTCCGGTCCCGAGTCAATTATATTATTATTATCAAGCCTCAGCCCATCAACAACCGGCGATCCAACCCGGGCCCTCAATGGCGCCCCCCGACCTCGCCGACACAACCATCTTCCCCACCTTCGCCGACTGCCCGGAGCCCTCCCCCTCCTCCCCCACCCCAACCCAACCCTGGTACCTCCTCGGCCAAATCACCCACGACATGACAATCACCAAGCCCACCCTCGTCCTGGCGGACCGCTCGGGCGCGCCCTTCGCCCTCGTCTTCGACGGCCACGGCCACGGCCACGGGCGCCTGCCCGAGTCGGCGCCCCCGGAGGCGAGGGGCCTCGACCTGCGCGCCAGGGGCCTCCGCAGGGGGGCGACGGCCGTCGTACCCATGGCCGAGCGGACGCCGCCCGCGGCGGAAGGGGGTGGTGGTAGGGGGTTTGTGCGCGTGCCGGCCGGGGCGGAGGACGTGGTTGGGGCTGTGCCGGGCCCGTTGGAGAGGGTGGTGGATGTTGCGGGAAGGATGAGGGCGGGGGATGCGGGGGAGAGGTGTGGGAGGTGTGGTGGGGAGGGGGAGGGGGGAGGGGAGGGAGGGAAGGTGGTGCTGAGGAGGTGTACGGGGTGTGGGGAGGTGAGGTATTGTTCTAAGGTGAGTTTCTCTATCTATGTGGTGAGGTGTCGTGAGGGGGGTGGTGATGTGCTGACCTTGTTTTGTTAGGACTGTCAAGTTGAGGACTGGAATGCCGGCGGCCATAAGGGGGACTGTAAGATTTTCAAAGCTCTCAATGACATATGGAAGTGAAACTTGGGGGTCATATCCGGGCTCTACTGTAATTCCCTTGAAATCATTATTCTGCGATTTCCATCTGATTCTAGTCAGGACCCAACCTTATCGGAGCTGCCTAGCCGGAGGGTGGTGGCATGATGCGGGGTCCGGAGTTCATTTGCCGGACCTTACGGATCCCGCCAAGGTGACTTGGCGGTCCTGCGACCAGGTCCTCATCCGATATCTATAGATAGCCGGTCGTGGCAAAATGCCTTCCGAGGTACCTAGTGCTAAAATCCCATTGCAGGGGAAGTATATATCTTCTTCACTGCTCCTTCTAGCTTTGGACCTTCCCTGTTTATTTACTCCATACGCCCTGTCCTGTTAAACCTTGCCGGCTCCCCCGAAAGATAACCAGCGTTACCTTGACCCCCTCCAAAAACACCCTCCCGGATATACAGAACACCATCGTCACTCCCTCCACCATGGCGGCAACCAAGAAGAGTGAGTTCGCCCTCAAGGCCCAACCCGAGTACATGGCCCTCGACCCAGCCTTCAAGCCGCTCCCCAAGAACGGGCACCTCTCGGAGATCGACCCGGAGTTCGCCACGATGCTGCCCGCGGTCGAGGACGCCATGGCCGGCCTGTGGGCCTTTAGCGAGTGGGCGCCCTTCCGGCAGGCGTGGCTCGCCCCGGGACCCCTGCCCGAGGGCTGCCCCGAGGAGGGCCGCGACGTCGTCACCGAGGTGCGCCGGGTGCCGGTCCGGGACGGCGCCGAGGTCGAGATCAAGGTGTACAGGAGGAGCGGTGGTGGTGGTGGTGGTGGTGCCGCGCTGGTGCTGAAGACGCATGGTGGCGGTTGGGCTATCGGGTCGCACGTCACTGAGGAGGCGGAGAACTTGATGCTGGCGGGGAAGTCGGGGGTGGTGGTCGTCAGCGTCGATTACCGGCTGTGAGTCTACTTTGGTCGACCGAGACTAGGGGATGCCTGTCTGGGAGTGGCCGGGGAAGCTGATCATGCGTGATAGAGCGCCGGAGTACCCGTTCCCGACACCTATTAATGACAGCTTTGACGTGTTGAAATGGGTAGGAAACCCTAGCAATGGGGAATAGAATTCTTACATTGTGGACTGGGAGCTGACGATGCACAATAGTGCAAAGCAAACGCATCCTCACTCGGCGTTGATCCGGAGAGGATTATCCTGGCTGGTGGGAGCGCGGGAGGCAATATGGTTAGTCTGAGAGACCGTGAGAAAACTCGCCCCCTTTTGACTAACCTCGATATGTTTGCCCCGCAACGCAGGCTGCGGTGCTCGCGCTCAAAGCCAGAGACGAGGGCGTGACGGGCGTCATCGGGCAGATCCTCAGCTTCCCCGTCAGCTGTCACCCAAAGTTCTTTGACAGCGTCAAGGACAAGTACGAGCTCGGCAGCTACCAGCAGAACTACAACGCCCCCGTGGTAGGCATCTTGAAGATGGAGTTCTTCTGGGACGTCTACGAGCCGAAGCCGAGCCCGGACCCCTACCACTCGCCCCTGCTGGCTAAGGACCTGAGCGGCCTGCCACCTGCCTGTAAGCTTGGCGCTTGCTATCACTTCCCTCCGCTTCTAGGTGTCGTTCCAGCTAACCCCCTGATCTCGCAGTGGTCCAAGTCGCCGGCCTCGATCCCCTGCGGGATGAAGGGATTGCCTACGCGGAGGCTCTCAAGGCGGCCGGCAACGACGTCACGCTGTACACCTACAAGGGGCTGCCGCACGTCTTCCCTAGTTTCCTGGTTACTCTGCCGCAGACGAAGGAGTTTTACGAGAGGCAAGCTGCCTTCGTTAAGGGGTTGCTGGAGAAGTCAGCAAAGGCTTAGGTTATCGGGTGCCAGAGGTGGTCTCGGTATGTACATACGTTATGGAATATGGCGCAGGTAGCGAGTAGTTGAGGTGTTGTATTCGGAGCATCAATTGGCTCTAGGGGCCTTCCAAGCCCCCAAGGTAACACTGTACTGCAGTAGCCGGTTCAATGGCACCGAATTTGACCGGATGTATCCTCGGGTTTGAAGCTCGTAGATGCAGCCTTTCCTCGTGTCGTATTCGACCTGAGGTGGATAATCGAGCATTTGACACAGCGATGTTGGCCGATAGAGAAATACATCAGCCATCGTAAGGATCATAACGAACTCGAGGATAACGAACGATGCAAGGAAACACGCTTGGAAGAAGAGCAATGAGTCTCGCTATCACAATGCACTAAATAAAACAGACCCCAACGCCCTCCTCTCACCTGGCCCCGACCGCAACACGCCAATTTCCAAGCACCCCTAGATTCTTCCCCCCAAGCCCCAGACCAACTACAGCGCCGCCGGCGCCGGCGCCACGACGCCAGCCTCGGCCTTCAGCGCAGCCATCTGGCCCGCCATACTCACCCCCGTGCCCTTTCGCTCCTCAAGCACTTTAGACCAGCGCCTCGCGTCCTCCCCAGCGGGGCCCTCCGGCGGCGGCACCCCACCCTGGCCGTCGTCGGGGCTATCAAGGCCCAGCACCTCCATCAGCTCAGGCACCTCAGCGTGGTCGCGCGTCGTCTTCATCCGGTGACACCACGTGACCCTCTTCTCCTCGACGGGACACGTCTCCCCCACCTCCCCTCCCTCCGGCGGCGACGTCAACAGCCCCGCCGCAGGCTCGAACAGGAACTCCCCGCCAATCTGCCTCTGGTCGCCGGCGCGGCCGACGAGGCCCGTGCGGATCTGCCTGAGCCCCTGGGCCACGGACTCGAGGGAGCTGCGGAGCAGGCTCTTGCCGCGCATGTATGCGGGCCGCGAGCCGAGGGCGAGGGTGCGCACCATGCCGAGGTCGGCGTACAGGCGGCGCTCGGGGTCGGCGTACACGGGGAAGGCGGTCCCCGTCGCCGAGGCGTACATGTCGATCAGGCCCGGGTCGCCGCAGCCGATCACCGCGACGGAGGTGCTCACGGGCAGCTGGAGGAGGGTCGTCGGAGTGATGGAGGCGGAGAGGGCGCGGAGGTATTCTTGGCAGTTCTGCGGCGGGGGTTGGGTGGGTTAGCTGGCTGTTTTTGGCCCCCTTTGCCCCGGTCTATTTCGCTTTGGCGAACGCATGCTGGCTTACGGCGCAATCATGGTATGGTATGTGGATAGTTGGTGGATGTGGGTGGGTGTTGTGGCTTGTTTGGAAGGGGGTTTGGACTTACACCGCAGAAGAAGTGCCGTACAAAGATGATCAGGACGCGCCTCGCCACGTGCCTCCCCGTGTACAGGCTCTTGAACGGATGCGATTTCCCATCTCGGTCTAGCACGACGTAGTTCTCGATCTTGCGCAGCGTCGCTGCCGACGGCAGCTCGTTATTGCTGTCGACAGAGCCGTCGAAGTCGATCGGGCTGACGCCATCATCCCTGGCCGCCTTGTCTGCCTTCCCCGTCTTCTGCGGCGGTGCTGTGGGAGGAGTGCCCTGGGCGACGGCGGGGGCTGCACTAGTTGTATCCTGGGCTGGTAGTTGTAGGGGCGGAGCGGGCTTGGACCCATCCGTATCTCCTTCCGTCGCAGTCGCGTCGTTTGTCAGCCAAGAGTCGTGCGGGAGGGCCTTTCCCTCCTCTCCTAGCTCCAACGCCGTGCCCGCTGGCGGATCCGATGATATGACCATGGCGGGGCTGACAGACTGGCTCTGGACCTTGATATGTATGACGTTGGGGTAAGAGAAGCTTGGCAATTGTTATTGACACTGTCCGGGCAGACCTAGACGGCGATATGAGAGACCAAAACTCGGGAATTTCACTTCCAGGTGGGAACAAGGTTGGATATCTAGGGGGAGGACGTCACCTACAGGCGGAAGAAGGTATCAACAATGCAGGTAGGTGGCAGCAACAAACCAAGGCTTCAGAGGAAACCCTTTTCAAACCACTCAGCAAAACCTACCACCGCCCAAGAGCCCCGCACTGTCTTAAGAACGAGGACCCTGTCTGTTTCACTGTCACGAACGTCGCACCGCAGGGCCAGGGTTGGTGATCTCTTTCCATTGGCCAATGAGAGAACCGGGAAAGGGGGTCAGCTACCAAGCAAGGGTTAGCTAGGTAGGTAGCTTCCTGGAGATCTGCGAGTTGAAGCAGGCAATCCGAGATGACCATTTGTTGCTGCTCAACGACGACCACGCCCTTTAGTTTCATCCGTGTGTGAAGACAGCAAGGGAGACATCTGTTTATGTTTTGACTCGGAAAACACCAAAGCTGCAGGTCGCACTCTGCGGAAGCGAATTGTAACGAATGTATATCTATTTCGACCATGACGCATCGATCGGTTTCTACCTAATAAAGAGTGACTTTTCTGTTGGTGTCCTGGCTAGAAACGAGCCCCAGAACGGGCAGGCATCTAACCAGGTCACCCTACGGGTCGGAGAAGACAAAAAAGGCAAAAGCCAAAAGCCAAGAGGTAGGCTAGAAAAGAGTGTGCTGTGCGCTGTTCCCTCTCGACCACTAATCCTCCCGCAGCCTCTGTTGGAAGACGCATCTCCAGATGGCCTGACCAGTAAGAGGCCGTAGTGACTACGACCTTTCCTTCCACGACGTGGGCACGAGCGTGAGCAATCTGTAGGCATTACTCCACGCCATTCCACGTCTCTTCCTCTCTCCCCCCATCTCTCACTCCCCCGCTTTCCCTCTCTCCCGTGCTCGTGCTCCCAACTTTAACAAAACTCCATAATCTGTCGCAAGATCGGCTGTGCCCCTGCTCAGGCCTGTCAGGCATGTGTCGAATGACAGCCCATACCACCTGATGGCGGACTTATTTTTTCCAGATCAGACAGGATCTGCTGACGGGGGTTGGACGTGTGGCTGGCCTGGGTCCGGCTAGAGAGGGGGAGGAGGCATTCCGCTACAAGGCACTGGCAGCTGTCCTGAGAGGTTTAGTCCCAAGCATGGCGGCTTGGATGGCCTCAGTGCGGTACTCGACCAGCTCGATAGGGGCGGGGGCAAAAGGCTTTCGCGCTTCACGATGCCAAAAGATGTTGTCGCAGGACTCGTCGTGAAAGAGGTTTCAACCGATGATGGTCCTTGCAATTCCCGCCCCCACCTCAATCATAGCCAGAACCAATTTGGCTAGCAAACGCAGTGCTGACGCTCTTCTCGTCGTCGTCATAGCGGCGACCGTATCCGTTCCCCTGTCCCATCCGGCCACTGCTCTCGACGTACTGCTTGAGACGATCACTCTGGCTGTATGATGCCGGCCGAGCCGACCCAAGCGTCTCAACCAAGCTGGCGCCCAGGCTCGCTCCTCCCTGTCCGACACCCTTTCCGCCGATCACGCTGTTGCTGGCTTCGGTGAACTCGCTGTTGGCGACACTCTCGCCGGCGACGCTCTCGGTGGCACGACCCCGGCTCTTGGTGCCCGAACGGCCAGTGGGATGCACGCCGGGCAGGCCGGGCCACTGGTCCGGATTGAAGTTTGAGAACATGTGAGGGTAGGCAGAGCTCAGGCCAGCACCACCGAGTGCGGAGCTGTGGATGGACGAGACGTCGTCCGGAATGTACGACATCATCGATCCCGTATCGTAGTCTCGGATCGACCCATTCATGCCGCTGCTGCCGCCGTAACGGCCGTTCGAATAGCCCGCAGAGGGGTACTGCGGCTGCACTGCTGTGGAGCGCTGGGGACGGTAGTTTATCTTCGGGCGGCCGAATTGAAGGAGCGAGAGCTGAAGGTTGGTAAGGGGTCCCTCGACGAGGCACTTCCGGTCCTTGAAATGGACGAGGAGATGATGCCAGAGCTCGTGCTTAGACAGGACCTTGGGATTTCCGATGATAACGAGTCCGTACTTGGCACGAGTCAGGGCGACGTTGAGACGGCGCGGGTCGGACAAGAAACCAATGCCCTGGTTTTCGTTGGATCGGACGCAGGAAAGGACGATGAAGTCCTTCTCTCGGCCCTGGAACGCGTCGACCGAGGCCACCTCGACTTCCTTGTAGAACTCCTTCTTGAAGGTGCCCGTGTTCTGCATGGTACTAACAATGTAGCTTCGCTGGCCCTCGTATGGAGTGATGACGCCGATATCAGCCGGCTTGACGCCGGCCTTGAAGAAACGGGTGACAATCTTCTCGACGTTGGATGCTTCCGTACGGTTGAGATACGAGGTGCCGGATGCCGAGATCTCCTCATTGCCAAGATTCGACCAGAACATCATGGGCATGTCGGCAACCGGCCAGGGGAAGTCCACGTCTCGACGGAGCCGCTCGTGGATGGTGACGCCGTTCTGCAGCGATCCCTCGTAGAACATGTTGGAAGGGAACTCGGAGAGGCACGGGTGCATTCGGTACTGCACGTTCAGGCGGATGGGCGTGAGGCCCAGCTTCACCAGCCGTTCAAACAGAGATTGGTTGAGGCCGGCCTTGGCGGCTTTCTTGTTCATGATGACGGGCCCCAGCTGCTTGTGATCGCCAACGAGAACCACCTGCTTGCACCCCAGGACGAGAGGGATCATGCATTCCGGCTCGGCCGACTGGGTAGACTCGTCGATCAAGACATTTCTGAACTTCATCTTGGACAGACGAGGGTCTCCAGCACCCACACAGGTACAGCAGACGACGTTGGCGGAGCTGAGGATTTCGCGCTCCGCAGCTCGGGTAAGCTGCTTGAACTTCTTCTCGTCTTGGCTGGACAACTCGTTGAGCTCGCTCTTCAGCTGGGTGAGCTTGGTCAACTCCACGTTACTGTCGTACATCCGGACTTGCTCGTGCAGGGCGAGGAAGCTGACGGAGGACTCGACATCCTCCCGAGACTTGGCCGTTAGGCGGACGACCTTCAGACCGGTGTGGTGAATGCGCTCGCAAAGTTGGTCGACAGCGACATTAGACGGGGCACAGACGAGGACCGGGCTAGTCTTGGCCAAGTGGTAGATGATGGTTGCCGAAGTGACCGTCTTTCCCGTTCCTGGCGGGCCCTGGATCAGGCTGAGGGGCGTGGACAGGACCGTCTTGATGGCCGTGATCTGGCTGCTGTTCAGCGCGGGCAGGCCGGGGGCAGTGAACTGCTTGGGGAGCTGTGGCTTCATGGGCGCAACAGCAACTTCGTGGCCGAGGAGCTTGTGGAAGATGTAGCCCGATACGCTCATCTCATCGACCGCAAAGGTCTTCATCGCCAGCTGCATACGATCGTAAGAGGTGGCCTTCCAGACGTAATCGGCCGAGAAGTTGTGCGTGCATTCGGTCGGGATGGACTTGTCGTTGCCGGACTTGCGCAACTCGAGCGTCACCTCGTCGGACTGGTTATTGGGGATCTTGATAACGTAGCCCACGCCTTCCCAGGGAGGGCGGAGCTCTCCCTTATACTTGAGCCGCATCTCGTCGCCCACAGCCAGCTTGACGTCGCCAGACTCGATCTTAGGGAGTATAAAGCTGGCCAAGTGCTTGTTGTTCAGTCCGTAGTCCCAGCGGACCTGCAATCCGTCCTCCGACTGAGCTTCTTTGAGCTTCTTATCATAATCCGATTCCATCTTCACGAGAGGGCCAAAAATGTTCTGGTAGTGGTATGGGTCATCGTATTTGAGGAGAACAGGGTGGGGGTCGTCATCAATGCCACCGCCCTTCTCTAGATCCGAAACGGTGGCGCCTGGAACCTCCTTCCAGGTCTCCTCGAGTCTGGCAATCAGAGGGGGGTTCAGGTGTCGAGCACGAAGCTGCTCAGTATCGGTGGGGGTGGCAACAAGCCAGGGGAGGAATGATCGGTCCTCAATCAGTGGCTGCCATCTCGAGATATCCCAGCTCATGTCCTTGGACGAGGTGTTCGCAGCGCAGGGCTGGCGGCACAGGAGTACAACAACCGTGTCGGACTTGGCAGGGATGAACCCAAGGAGGAAGACATTCTTGGTACCGCAATTGTAACATTCGAGGACCGTGTCTCCAAGGGCAGACTGAGGGTGAAGCTGGACTTCCTTGTGTCGAGCTCTGACGAGGTGATTGACGATGTGCGATGAGGTCGAGTTTCCTCGGGCGCTGCAGAACCACTTGCTGCAAGAAAGACACTTGACAACACAGCCGGGGGAGTGGATGCCACAGTATCTTGAGAGTATGTTAGACGTGCAGTCCTATACCGTAAGCTTGTGAGGGTGTCCACTTACGCGCAGGCATGAGCGGGCAGCTCTTTGTCCTCTTCCGGGGCATTCAGCTTCAAGTCTTTCATGCCATCAACTGGCACACTGGCCAGGCTCTCCTCATCGTCGTCGTCGAAGACCTCCGTCTCATTGTCCTCGTCGTCCTGGCGCCGTCTGGCGTTTCCCAGCCCGCCGCGTGCTCCACGGCCGCCGTACGCGCCGTAGAGCAGACTCTCGTCGGGATCGATAGTGGACAGCTCATCAGAACCACCGGCCTTGATAGCGGCAGCCGAATCGGAAATGAGGTGGTTCCCCAGGTGGGTAAAGGCGCCCTCCATGGTGATATGATGGGGAGGAATGGGGAATTCTAGGGAATGGGGATCGCGCTGGGAGGACCTGCTTAACGGACGAGTGAGCTTAAATACCACCAGCTGGGGCAGACACGTAGAAAAGCTTCTCCCCAAGGTTTGGCTGGGAAGGCAATGCAGGCCAGGCTAGAGGTCCGTCTAGGATTTACCTCAGCATGGGCGGGGAGAGAGGGACCTTACCTCTTGTACGAGATTTGGAATATTTGCAGCCGCGCTGGCTCGGGGTTGGTGGAGGAGAAATCAGTGAAAGTCAGGAAATGTGCAGGTGTCACATCATCACCAAATGGGTTATGAGTGGCTACTGTGCGGCCATGACATGCAACATGAGCCTCTTCCTTTCGTCGCGTTGCTTTTCGTGTTTGCCGTGGTTTGCGATTTTCGAGGCGACGGAAATTAGTGAGCAATGCCGATGCGCGGATGGGCAGAAATTCACCTGTGGCGTGTGGTGGGAAAACCAGTGAAAACCAGGGGTGTGAATATTGCCCATCTAGGTATAGCGTCCGGAGCACTCCGATAAGATAAGAGCCTCCGGCTAGGTTGGACTTTTTTTTTTCGGAGGGGAAGGTTTTGATGGAGTGCTAGGATTCTGACGCGAGAGCATCTATCGACAGTTCAATACATGTATCGATTGATCTTCGCAACCAAACAGCAAAGATGATTGTAAGTTCGCAATTCTTGTTTATTTGCCCCAGTGCTCTTGCTAATACGAGTTCTCAATTTCTAGCGTAAACAAGCCCGTCAAAGAAGAGATTGTAAGCTTTGGTTGCAACCCCCTAAGCTTGAGGGCCACGCTCACCGTCTCCTCCCGTCTAGATCTCTACCGCCGGGCACTTCTGCTTCGTGAGGCGGAAATAAGCGAGAAACGTGCAAAACTGAAGGCCTCCCTGGCGACCGGAAAACCGCTGGATCCTACGATTGCGAACGACAAAGAGCTGCGAAAGGACCTGGCCTACGATGAATCACGGCCAGACACCGTTGAGCTTGATCTGGACGATGAATATCAGGCGCTTTCAGGAATTGTGGAACCTCGAGTACTGGTCACTACAGCTCGAGACCCTTCGAGTAGACTAAGCGCCTTCTCTAAAGAGGTTCGTCGAGTCCCCTCTGTCTCGAGTCCCCTCTGTCTCGAGTCCCTGACGTGAGCATTTGCAGCGGGCTGACCAGACTTCAAGATACGGCTGCTGATCCCCACCGGTATTCGGCTAAACCGAGGAAATCTAATCCTCCCGGAGATCGTGAGATCCGCTCAAGCTGCTGGGCTGAGCGACCTAGTCTTAATGCACGAACACAGAGGCGTTCCATCAAGCCTCACTATTAGCCATATGCCTCACGGCCCTACCGTTTCCTTTTCGCTCCACAACGTTGTGTTGCGACACGACATACCGAATTCTGTTCGAGGGACAGTCAGCGAATCGTTTCCGCAGTATGTGGCCCCGGAGACGTAGAGTCTACCTCGGGAGAGAGCCTCCATACCCCCTTGAGACTATGGATGCTGACTCGTGATGTCCATAGCCTCATATTCGAAGGCTTCAATAGCCGACTCGGGAAACGCATCCAAAGAGTGCTCCAGCATCTCTTTCCCCCACGCGACCCCATAACCGCCAAGAACAAGGTCGGCAACCGAGTGATCACATTCGTCAACCAGGACGATGTGATCGAGGTTCGGCACCATGTTTTCGTCAGAACCTCATATCAGTCTGTCGAGCTATCAGAGGTCGGACCGCGCATGTCGATGCGGCCGTTTGAGATCAGGGGTGGCACCTTGGACAACAAGGATGGAGATGTGGAGTGGCACCTGAACCAGTACACCAGAACGAGCCGGAAGAAGAACTATCTCTAAAGAGAGGTCACGCTCAATGGAAACTTCAAGACCCATCCCATACACCACTTCCAAGTTGCACCTCAACAGGCAGCGGCCAACTGGCGCGCTAAGCAGGGTTACCATCGCCGAGTTGCCGTTGAAAAGCACAGCGAGGCTGAGGCCATGAAAGACTCAGTTGAGATAGACGGCCATGTGTACCGGCACGCGGCGAGGCGGTCAGAAGAAACCCTACGAGCCTTGCCAATATGGGACCACACTAGGGAGCGTCTTTCTGCTACGAACAGAGGAAGGTTGGGTCGGTATGGATCTGCAGTTTGGGGATCTATTCGGACAGGTGAATTGCGCAGGGTGTGAGCTCTTCTCACTGCGGCTGATACAAATGAGAACTGATGGGCAGACCCTGGAAAGGGGTCAGGCATGCAGTTGGTGAAGCAATAGCCCACTGATTGGAAGGGACTACCTATGGCTGATGGGTAGTTAGAGACATCACGGTTGGTGGCTTTAGCCTTGCGGCGTCAACCAGGCCTGGACTTTGTACGGAAGAGGAATGATGGGCGGCGGGATGCATGGTCATCCTGCTGTTGAGATTCTAGAAACGGCGCTATGTGAAAAATGCCAACTCAGCATCATTATGACTGATCTGATGAGAGCAGTCACCGTCCTGACTGTAATGTGATGTGTCGTAATACTACCAAGCAAAGGGTTCCATGTTTCTAGCCGGATAGCAATTGCTAGATTAGGCAGAGGCTTGATACTTACGGCCCTGATTTGATGTGCCTAGGGAACCAAAAGAAAAAGAAAACAAAATAAAATCAAACGTTGCCAAGCGCTGGCAGAAATTTGAATAGTGCGCTTCAAGTAACCAACCATAGGAAGAAAAAGAAAAAGAACCGGCATATGTACGCGGGAAAACTGATAGATGCTGGGAAGAATATAGATAGTAAAAAGAGAAGTGACAAGAACCCAAAAAAAATGAGTTCTCCCGAGCCAGAATCGAACTAGCGACCTTTCGATAAGCATCGCATGCAAGGTTGCATGCAAAGTTACAGTCGAACGTGATGAACCAACTACACCATCGGGAGAAAAGACCGCAGTTAGCTGCGACCCGAATTGATCTGTCATAGGGTTCGGTATTCTCCCTTATATCGACGCACATGTTCAAAGAAGTGAAAAGTAATGAAAGGGAAAAAAAAAGAATTGGTTGAATCTCCCGAGCCAGAATCGAACTAGCGACCTTTCGATAAGCATTGCTTGCAAGGAGCATGCAGAGTTACAGTCGAACGTGATCAACCAACTACACCATCGGGAGGATAACCATGACCGCAGTTGGCTGCGACCCGAATTGACTGGTAGTTAGGTATTCTGCCTTATATGGCACAAAATTTTCTCTCCAGACATTAGTTCGCCCCACTCCTCTGCGCTAGGTACCTAATCGAAGGTAAGTGGTTGCAGAGCTGCTTTGGACATCCTCATCGTTTTTTAAGACATCCGTACGCGCTATCAAGACGGAAGCCATGGAAGCAGGTACGAATGGCCACAACTTGGCAAGAACAGTTATTGCTTATATGGATTCATTGGGCTTAGGTACGCATCTAGATATTTATGTGACATTGTAGCACCTAACAGATCCGTGGGTCAACCATTTCATCATTTTCATCTTCCACGTTTCCTAAGTACTTGCACCAAATATCCATTCCGACGTGAGCATTGAGAGAAGCGCAGTTCTAGTTTTCAAGGGCGTCATTGCTACACCAACGCCTGGGAACAGTTTTTGAGTTCTAGACCCCTCGCGCCGGGCTTGTTTCGGCAGCCCACTTGCGTCGCATGTACTTGGGTACGTACCTACTGCGTACAGAAGACGGAGTACGTGTACATGCAAGGGAAATTACGCTGCGCCTCGAGGATCATTCCACCGACGCCCCCCCACCTGTTCAAAGCTTCTGCCTTCGGATATTCTTTGGTCTCATTAGCCACATAAACTCTATTGGCGGCTTCCCAGTGTCATTCGGCTGTCAGCAACACCGCTTCCTCAAACATCGCATCAATTCAGCGCATCCCGAGTAATCCGGAGCAGCCATCATCATGTCCTACGGCAATCCCTACCAGAGCAATCCCTATAGCCAAGCGCCCACGACCGAGGCAGGCTATGGCTATAGCGAAGTGAGTTGACATTGCAAAGCCAAGAACACTCCCCGTCCTCCCGCCCGTCTTCCCGCAGCGTATCGCTAGCCTCTCTCTGGCCCAGCTCGAGCTGCGGCCTTGCGCGCGCGTGGTCGCTCGAACTGCCCGAACAAGCATGTGACACGATCGATGGACCGGGCTAATATGTTGTTGTTGTTGCGCACTCGCAGGAGCAGCACGAGATGCAGCCATACGGCCAGCAAGAAGCACCCGCACCGGCGGCGTACACCCTCTCGCAAAACGACTTCCTGGCACGGGTGGCCCACGCGCGGAATGAAATCGAGTCCCTGACGACGGACGTGCAGCAGATCGCGGCGCTGCACCAGCGGTCACTGGGCAGCAGCGACGGGTCCGCGGCCCGCCAGCTCGACGCCCTGGTCGCCCAGACGCAGCTGAAGAACACGTCGATCCGCGACCAGATCCGGAGTCTCAAGCAGGACGCCGAGCGGACCACCGACGCCTCCCGTGGTCTCAAGTCGACCCAATTCAAATCCCTCAACAACGACTTCAAGAACAAGCTCCAGAACTACCTGCAGGAGGAGCAGCAGTACAAGGAGAGATATCGCGAGCAGATCGCCCGCCAATACCGCATCGTCAACCCCGAAGCCACCGAGGAAGACGTCAGGGAGGCGGCCGACAGGGACTGGGGAAATGAGGGTGTCTTCCAGACGGCGGTATGTTCGCATCCACTCTCCCATATTCTCCTGCCGTTCCTTGAAACTTGCACTAACGCTCTCGCCCTTAGCTGCGCACTAACCGCTCCGGTCAAGCATCCGCGGTTCTCGGCAACGTGCGGGCGCGCCACAACGAGCTGCAGCGGATCGAGCAGTCGATCGCCGAGCTGGTGAACATGTTCCAGGACCTGGACACGCTGGTCGTCCTGCAGGACCCCGTGGTGGAGCAGGTGGAGGAGCGGACGGAGCAGACCAACGCCAACATGTCCAAGGGCACGGAAAACGTGGACAGGGCCATCGTCAGCGCCCGCCGCACCCGCAGGAACAAGTGGATCTGCGCCGGCATCGTCTTGCTCATCATCATCGCCATCGCCCTCGGCGTCGGCCTCGGCATCAGCTTGACGAAGGGGAAGAGCAGCAGCTAGGGCGATGATCCTCTTGCTCTCGTCTTTCTTTGATGACCTGGCCGGCCCGCGGATGCCCCCTCGTACTGCCAGAGTTGATCCCAACCTGCTTGTTTACCGGCAGATGTTTTGTTTGGGGGCCCCGCCCTGTTCCCCTGGCGTGGAGGGCATTCGAATCCGGGTGGGGAGCTGGAAGGAGTGAGGAAGCGAGCAAAAGCAGAATAAAATCGTGCAGGAGCGGCCCCCTTCCCGCCAGGAGAGGGCCATGTCAACGGTGACATCCGGGCCCGGCGATGACGGTGTCTCCCGTGGCCCTCTCGAGACCGCCCTCACTTCCTTTTCTTTGCCTACGAAAAAACCTACACGGCGTAATAAATACTTGGCTATCCCCCTACAGCAACGGCATGGTCCTGTTTCTCCGCGTTTAGATGCCGTCGGGTTTTTTCTTCTTTTTCTGCTACGAACGTTTTTCTTTTTTCCCCTCCCGTCGTCGCTCTACTATTAGTTACTAATTTCTTTCCATCCGCTGGGGAGAAGGCTTTTTGAGCTGCACCCTGGCTTCTCAAGCAAACCGGGAGGGGGGAGGATCAGGGGTCTTCTGTAGGGGTTTTCTGTTCTCTCTTCGTCTTGGGAGAGGAGGGAGGGACTGCTTTGTTGTTGGTGTTTGTATATCGGCTTCGTAGTCACAGACCTCCTTAATGTACATATATAATTTATATATTTACATACTCTTGTCCCCTGGTCCTGGCTCGCTTGTAATGTGTATGCTCACTCTCATCATGGGATAAAGAATTCCATGTTTCTCGTAGGAAGTGAGTGAGTGAGTGAGCGTCATATGTCCCCTCGAGGTCCGCAGCTTGGCGAAGCCCAGGGGCGGCTGGTCTAAAACGGTACCGAGGAAGAGTAGGTAACAGCTATTTCTTACAGGATCTGATCTAGTCCCTACCCTACCCTAATGTAACGCAACGGAAGAGTGACGAGTGTCAAGTATTATCTATGTACAGTAAACAATGGACGGGAAAAAAAAGAAGATTCCGCGATCCACGTTGAGTTGTCTGGCAAACCCCAACCCAATTCGGGGCTCCAGAATGCCCGCTTTCCTCCCCCAACCACCTTTTTGGATGAATGCGAAGCTCGGGACTCGGGACTCTCTTCGTTGTCGCGAAGGCCCGAGAAAAATATCCACATGACACCTAATTACCACCGAGCAAAGTGTGTTGTATTTCGAAACGCGGGCTCCGTCTTGGTTGGGTGCTCCCTAAACCTCGACTTCGACCTCGACCTCCCACTTCTCAACCTAAACAGACAATATCTTGGGGGGGGGGGGGGGGGGGGGGGGGGGGGGGGGGGGGGGGGGGGGGGGGCGGG